TATTGCTAAGCAGGGAGGCAGGATGGTCATTTGTTTTCACAGCATCCTCAGTTCCAACATGGTGCGGATCTCAGGAGCTACTGCTGGTTCTCCCCCTGAAAGGGCAGCATTCTGCCACCCTCCCTCCACTTACCAGGGAGGGGAGGTGCTTGCTTGGCTTCCCAGAGTCCTAAGTTCCAACATGGCGTGGATCTCAGGAGACACTGCTGGTTCTCCCCCTGGAAGGGCTGCAGTGGGCCACACTGCCTCCACTTACCAGGGAGGGGAGGTGCTTGCTTGGCTTCCCAGAGTCCTAAGTTCCAACATGGCATGGATCTCAGGGGACACTGCTGGTTCTCCCCTTGGAAGGGCTGCAGTCTGCCACCCTGCCTCCGCTTACCAGGGAGAGAAGGTGCTTGCTTTGCTTCCCAGAGTCCTAAGTTCCAACATGGCGTGGATCTCAGGAGACACTGCTGGTTCTCCCCCTGGAAGGGCTGCAGTGGGCCACACTGCCTCCACTTACCAGGGAGAGGAGGTGCTTGCTTTGCTTCCCAGAGTCCTAAGTTCCAACATGGCATGGATCTCAGGAAACACTGCTGGTTCTCCCCCCCTGGAAGGGCTGCAGTCGGCCACACTGCCTCCGCTTACCAGGGAGAGGAGGTGCTTGCTTCCATTTAAATCTTTGACAATTTAGTTTTCATTCTCTGGTTGATAGACATATGGTTGCTTCCAATTTTTGCTGTTCTGCACAATGCTACTTTAAGAATTACAAATCTTGTTGATCAAGGTAGATTCACATATATATGTATGTGCCTAATGGAAGATTTCCAATGTCATAATCTACGTGAATATTCTTACTCGTACTAAATCTTTTCCAGTATTCAAACCAAATTGCACTTTTACCGGTAGCTAGTAGAATTTCTCATTTTAAACCATTTTCCAAAATCTGAAGCCATCAGTCCATCTATCTGAATTTTTACAAAAGCTTTGTTACATAGATTGATGTGTTAATAGAATCTCAATACACATTTTTGCTTTCATTTTCCTTTTGACATAGGATTTTGCTCCTTAGCCCTGGCTGGCCTTGAACTGTTGAGCCTCCTTCCTCATCCTTGTGAGTGCCGGGATTATAGGTGTACAACACTGTGCCTGACTTTCATTACAGTTTTAATTTGCCTTCCCCTGGATGCTACTGAGGCTGCATGTCTTTGCTTATATTTACAGAATATAAACACAAAACACATTTTCTCAAGTACTTATTCAAGCCTTTTGCCCCTTTGTAGTGGCCTAGTGTTTCATAGACATTGTTTCATCTGTCTAGCTTGTACTTTTTATATGGCTCATCTGTTGCAAATATCTTCTCCCAGTATATAACTTATTTTTTTCCACTTTGTAATGTCTTTTGGTGACTGGAAGCATTTTTTCAATTCATATTTTCCCTTTTGGTTTTTATGCCTTAATTTCTTTTTTAAATTTAATTTTGTTTTTTAAAAAAGGGTAAAACTAAACAAAACAACAAAGCAGATCAGAAGAAAACAATATAAGTGACACAGATTTCAAAACAAGACAACAGGAGATCTACAGTGGCTACCATAATATCTCTTGTTTTCTTCTAAATGGTTTTCTGTATCTTCACACACAATGAACTCACACAAAACAAAATAGTATAAAACTGCTCACAACAGGGTAATGAAGGCATTACAGGCCTTCAAAACCAGCAAATATGAAAATTAAAAATGGCTGTCATAATGTCTCTTGTTCTTCAAAATAGCTGTCCATACCTTTATGTATGTTGTAATTAAACAATACAAAACAGACTAAAACCACTCTGAACAAAGAATAGAAGCATTATTGGATTTCACAGCATGATGATACGAAATCAGCAATGGATACCATAATGTGTTTTTCTTCAAAATAACTGTTCATTTCATCACACATAATATAATCAATTCTAATAAACTGTTTAAGAAAAGTTCTAGGCATATATAAGCCTCTACATGTATACCTATCCTTTCTGCATTACAGCAAAAAACAAAACACATTACTAGAAAAATAAGAAACAAAAAAGACAAGTAAATAACAATAACAAAGAGCCCAAAACAATAATGATACAGGCCTTCAAAACACAGTGGTAGGAACATAATAAGATTGATATTTTACATAGTGATCTTCAAGAGTTCCTCAGGTCACCCAACGCAAACATGCAAAATTGTTCCAATCTTCTATTAACTGCTTTGTTCTATGAACTTATAGAATTTGTAGAACAATCATCTTAGCTATCCTAAGTGTGTTTATACAAATTTAGATATTTTTTTCTTTTCCCTTTTTCTTTTTCCTGCTTTTCCCTGAAATATTTCCCACCTTTGAGAAGATTCTTTTTTTTTTCACTGTATTTATTGAGGGTTTTGTATCTTATGTACTATTACAATTTCTTACATTACGGAGACAATATGCTATTTATTCATGTGAGTTTAATTTATCTCATTTATGAGTATGTTCTAAGTTGCCTCCGCTTAAATATCTCAATGTGATCGTTCTTTATAACTGAGCAGTACTCCATTGTATAAAAGTACTACATCTTTTTTATCCATTCCTCAGTTGATGGGCATTTAGGTTGTTTCCAAGATCTGGCTATTACAAATTGTGCTGCCATGAACATGGGTGCACATACATCACTGTGATATGATGCCTTCAATTCTTCTGGGAATATGCCCAGAAGTGGAATAGCTGGGTCAAATGGAACTTCCAATCCCAGCTTTTTGAGGAACCTGCAAACTGATCTCCATGGTAGTTGCACTGGTCTACACTCCCACCAACAGTGCAGAAGAGTTCCTTTTTCCCCACAGCCTCCCCAGCATTTGTTGATGGTAGTTTTATTTATCCTGGCCATTCTTTCTGGAGTGAGATGGAATCTCAGTGTCATTTTAATTTGCATTTCTGTAATAGCCAATGATGCTGAACATTTTTTCATTTATTTATTTGCCATTTGTATTTCTATAGCTGAGAACTGTGTATTCATCTCAGATGCCCATTTTTGGATTGCATCTTTGCATTTCAGGGGTCTGATTGTTTTAATTCTTTATATGTTCTAGACAGAAGTCCTTTGAGGGACCGTTGACTTAAGATTTTTTGAAAATTCATGGGTTTCCTTTTTACTTTGTTAGAGATTTCTTTTGACATACAAAAACTTTTTAATAAGATGAGATCCCAGTTATTGATTCTGGGGAGTATTTCCCATGCAGTTTGATTTTTGTTCATGAATTCTCTACCTACCCCTATGTCTTCAAGATTTCTACCTAGTTTGTCTTGCCTTTATTTCTTGCTATTTTGCTGTTGTTTTTAAATATTATTTACTGATCTGTAGACGTGGGGCAGGGATTTAACTCAGCAGCACAAGCACCTGCCTGGCAGGCATGAATTCATGAGTTTGATTCCCAGTTTAAAAAAAACTGATGTGTAGAATTTCCAAAGATAATTTTTCTGTGATTATCTCTCTTTAAATAGATGTGATTCTGTTTGAGCTTTGTATTTGTCTAATGGTAAGAGTAGATGATGGGTTGCAGTTTAAATACTCCCAAAGAACTTGAATCAGATAGCTGAATGTGTCCATAGTGAGGTAGGGCATGAGGCAGTCTCCGGTTCATCACTTGTCTGCTTATATTTGCATGTTCCATTAGCTGGATCTTTGCTGAGGTTACTTGGTATATTTTGGAAATGGAACCTGCTTGATTTTCCATAGTTTCTCTTATCTTTGTAAATAGATTAGATTGGAAAGGATGATCCCAGTTAATGAATCTCTCTTGCTTCACAATAGAGCCTGTGCTTACAGCATTTGGTTCACTGGTCCACTATTGATCTCCATTCTGTTCATCTGATCAGCAGTCATAAGGTTGATTTTCAGATTGCAGTTTCCTGTCCTTTGTACTCATTGCCAGTAGACCATTTTTTTCTGGGATAAGGATTGGGTTCTGAATAAATAAAGTCTGAATGACTCCAGTATCCTTCCATCATCCCTGTCTCCAGCATGTCAACAGTTTATCTTGTCACCAGTTCTAATAATCACAGAAAGGAAATGTAGAAAAGGATACAGTCCTTTAGGGTGCTTTTTATATGACACATTTTGTTATGCTTGACGTTTAAGAAGGAAAAGCCTTTAAACTGCATCATCCTCAAGCAGGAAGTAGTTTCAAGTATTTTCTGGTGCTTTCTGTTCCAGATATTCTATTCATTGAGGATAATTTTCATATGTCATCTTATTCCCTTACCAAGCCTCTCTCATCCTGCACACACACACACATACACACACACAGAGAGACAACCTTAGCAGAAGACATATGTGTGTGTGAGATGCAGACATTTTATGTCTGTAAAAACTCAGACTCAGAGAAACAGATAATTTATTTAGATCCCATAAGGGCTGATGATACAGTTCAGCAGCACAGCACCTGCCTGGCAAGTGCAGAGTCCTGAGTGATTCCCAATGCTAAAAAGAAAAATAATAATGATAATAATTTAGATAGCATGAGAGGCCATGGTTTGAGCCCATTTGTCTGCTGCTCATCTCAGCAATCTCTTCCCTGCATGACACTGTGATGTTTTCCAAAGATTAATTTGCCGTAGGATTCTAAGCAGCCTTAACAGAGGGAACAAAATGCTTGGGGGGGGGGAATATATATATATCATGTGTTACAGCCTTGTGGTATACTTCTCCCAATCACATTGATTCATGTGTTTTCCCATAGTTCCATCTTCATTATTGGACCTAGACCAGTGTTCAGTGATTCCACTGGCCATCCCTGTTAAATGCACTTTTTCTACTATCACCCAATGGATTTACCATCACCTGCTTCTAGTTCTCCTGTTTTCTGTGAACAGGTCCACTGTTCCTTTCCTCTCTTGCAATTTGTTTATCTAAGCTCTGGAATAAGTCTAATATTTATTCTTGCTTGAATCACTTAATGCCAACTTCAAAGTTTTCACTCTTCAACACAGAAACTAATATGAATTTTAATTTTTTTCAGACCTAGAGACAAGACTTGAACAAAATGAGTTATCTCCAAAGCCCAACATTACTGAAGATTATGGATCCATAATGGAAAGGAAAGGTATCTTGCATTCAGCCTTAGCAGAAGCCTGGAAACCTGATAATTGCTTAGAGGAACAACAGGAAAGACATCTGGGCCAAGTAACCCATAAAGAAACCTTCACTAAGAAGAGGGTATGTAGAGAAAATGACCTTGAAAGATGTTCCAATCAGGATTCAGTCATTAATAAACAGCAAGGGATTCCTATGTCAAAATCTCCCCACAAAAGGAATTCACTTGGAAAAAATAACAAACAAAACTCTGAGTTAACAAAAACTCAAAAAAAGTTTGTAAGAAGGAAAATCTATGAATGTAATGAATGTGGGAAAACCTTCAACCAGAGCTCCTCCCTTCTTAAACACCAGAGGATTCATACTGGGGAGAAACCCTATAAGTGCAATGTCTGTGGTAAGCACTTTATTGAACGTTCCTCCCTTACTGTACATCAAAGAATTCATACTGGAGAGAAACCCTACAAATGCAATGAATGTGGGAAAGCCTTCAGTCAGAGCATGAACCTTACTGTCCATCAAAGAACTCACACTGGGGAGAAACCATATGAGTGCAAAGAGTGTGGGAAAGCCTTCCGTAAGAATTCCTCCCTTATTCAACATGAAAGGATTCATACTGGAGAGAAACCCTATAAATGTAATGAATGTGGGAAAGCTTTTACACAAAGCATGAATCTTACTGTGCATCAGAGAACTCATACAGGAGAGAAACCCTATGAATGTAATGAATGCGGAAAAGCCTTCAGTCAAAGCATGCATCTTATTGTGCATCAGAGAAGTCATACTGGAGAAAAACCTTATGAATGCAGTGAATGTGGAAAGGCCTTTAGCAAAAGTTCAACCCTTACCCTACATCAGCGAAATCACACTGGAGAAAAACCATATAAATGTAATAAATGTGGAAAGTGCTTTAGCCAGAGTACATACCTTATAGAACATCAAAGACTTCACTCTGGAGTAAAACCGTTTGAATGTAATCAATGTGGAAAAGCTTTCAGTAAGAACTCATCTCTTACTCAACATCGGAGAATTCACACTGGAGAGAAACCTTATGAGTGTATGATATGTGGAAAACATTTCACTGGACGATCATCTCTGACTGTTCATCAGGTTGTTCACACTGGAGAGAAGCCTTATGAATGCACTGAATGTGGGAAGGCATTCAGCCAGAGCGCCTACCTTATTGAGCATCAAAGAATTCATACTGGTGAGAAACCCTATGAATGTGATCAGTGTGGGAAAGCTTTCATTAAGAATTCATCTCTTATAGTGCATCAGAGAACTCATACAGGAGAGAGACCCTATCAGTGTAATGAATGTGGAAAAGCCTTCAGTCGGAGTACAAACCTTACAAGACATCAAAGAACTCATATGTGAGGAAAGCATTCATGAGCTCCTACATCATGATTAACTCTTAAGTAATTGTCACATAAGTCATGCTGATGTAGGTGCTTAATAAATATAACTCTTGTGGAAATCTTTTCATTGAAATACATACCATGGCAGAGAAACCTTATAAGAGTGGAGAGATTTTGATTCAGAAGAAAAAAAGTTACTTTATGTCAGGTTTGAGAATTAGTATGTAGACAAAGAAAATAAGTTCTGTTGTGTCATACTGCAGATTTTCCTCTGGACATCAGGTACTTCATAGTGAAAAGAAAAAAATCACAGAACATGGATCGTTAGCCCAAAGACCTGGTAGGTTGTCTTGACTGCCACTAATTTGGAAAAAGTCTCTGGGTCATGGTTTCATTATCTGGTAATTGAGAGATTTTTGGATTTTGAAAACCTGCAGGACTCCTATTTGCTAAAAATACTACAAACATTGATATTGGGAATTTACTGGTATTTTACTCTCTTATGTGTTTTCTAGATGCTTCTTTTTTAATTTGTTTTACTTAGATGTTTGTAGTCAAAATTATCTACCTCTACCAACAGCTATTATCTACCATGTTTCTTCCCTTCTTCCTTCCTACCCTAAAATATTAGCTGGTTTCTACCAGGTAATAGAATAATTGTACAAATCTTAATGCACTGGCATGCTGTTTTGAGTTCTAATCAATAGTAAACTGTTGTTAAATTAGCTGTTCGGAAGACTAAATATAGTCTATATGTACAGCATAGATTCAGAATACGTATCTGTGTGTTGTACTTGACTAAGTAAAAAAGAGAAGAGCAAGTGGGATCGAACACTAAGAAGCACGGATATCTGCCATATTGGCAAAACCTTTGCAACTCAGAATATATTCAAAACAATCATAGGGATATTTTAGACATCTTCATAGTATTAGTAGTTTACTTTCATTTATTCTACTCATGTTTAACAAATATTAAAGATATGATTAGAAAATCAGAATGATTTTTTTTTTTTTGTCTTTTTCCTTTTTATTGGTACCAGGGATTGAACTCGACTGCCTGCTTTACAAGGCAGGCACTTATGCCGCTGAGCTAAATCCCCAGCCCCTGAAAATCAGAATGATTAAAATACATTATTTTCTAAGGCTATGGTGGTGAGACTGTGGCATATGTACTACAGGCTGTTCATTATCCTCGAGAACTGTAATAGATTCACCGTCACTGTGGTAAGGGCTAAACCTAGGAAGTGGCAGTGTGTCATGTGGGGAAAGAAGAATTGAAGTGGTGATGAGGTAGACTGTACAAAAACAACCCAATACCTTGTAAAATATAGCTATCTGAATGAGAAAGAAGAGTTTAGAATGACTTAAATTTCTTATCCGAGTGAATTCACATGCCATAGCTTAGAACATACAAAATCAGCCAATTTTGCCAGGCAGTGATGTGTTCAGTTTAAGAGCATGTGATGAGTCTATGAGCAGAGTGAAAATTCCTGATAGGCAGCGGAATACACACAAATAAGCAGAAGGAAATACTTAGACTACAGTTACTGAGGGAAGTGGGGCAAGGAGCAATAAGTAGAAGCTAAAAGGAATGAACTCCAGAAGAAAAATAGAAAATCAGGAAGTGATGGTGCCGTAAAGTAAACGGAGGATAATCTTGTACAGTGCCATGGAAGGTAAAGATTAACACAGAATAAGCCCTTTGCTTATAATTATCAATTTAAAATAGATGTTAGAACCTCTGTAAATTTTAATGAGTTAAATGTTGTAAGGAACTTAGTGTTACAGACAGGAGCTCTGTAGATAACCAGAGGGAGATGGGGGCCAAAAGACGGTTTACCTATCAGAAGATCCTTTGGCTGCAGATAATCAAAAGCCCATTTAACAATGGCTTAAGAAAGTAAAGATTAATTTTCTCAGCAGATCTAGAGGGTGCTGGCATTGGTTCACAGGTGTAATTGGATATCTTCAATTTCATGGTGTTCTCTCTTGGTGTATGATGGCAGTCAAGCTTCAGGTAAAATGTCTACATTTGTAGTAGGAATATGGGATGAATAGCACCAGCAATATCAATGCATTTTTTTAGAAAGTGTCTCCCCAGAATCCCCTCAGCATACCACTTGCGTTTCATTGACCACAGCTATACATGATCCACCCCTAGAAGCAAGGGAGGCTGAAAAAAGAATTCCACTCCACCTAGTGAGGTTAGACATTAAAAAAGCAGCTTTCAGAATGGTGTCAATTTGGCCAACCAGTAGTCTGCCAGGGAATGTTTGTATGGTGAAAGGGGTAAGTGTGTTTATAACTGGAAAAAAGAAGGAAGCCTGGGAGAGTTAGGAAGCACAAGGAAATCTACAGCTCAGAGTGAGAAAGTAAGATTTGGAGCACTGAGGCTACAGGAATCCTTTCAACAGGAGGATGGAATCTCCAGTGAGAGACAGTGCCAGACATGCCTATGAACTAGTGTTGGTCCCTAGGCAGTGTAGGCTTTGGGTCTTGTAATTCCTCCGGATTGGTACCAGCTTTGTTTCATTGTATCCATCCTGTTTCAGCAACCTTCATTTCCCCCTCCTGTGCCTTCCTCTTAAGCTTTTATTTTGTTGCTGTCTGTATCATTGTCATCTATTTTCTACCCTCTTTTCTCTCTGCCTCCTTTCTTTTTTCCCTCCATTTTTATCTTGAGGTCAGGCAACCAACAGGAAACAGAGAAAGGACACAAGCACAGTATATTAAAAATCATTCTCAGAATTAATCTTTCTGGGATTCATTCTTTTTCTTTGCTTGTTCTCCACTAGTTTAGGTTTGAATACAATGAATGAGCCCCGGGATCTGCATGGTAACCAAGGCATTTAGGGATCAGAGAGGAGAAGCTATGTTGGTGATTTGCTCCATCCTCAGCTTCTATACTTGGGTAGAGGGAAAAGGTATTTATTTATTTGGGAAACACCTTGAAAGGATACTGAGAGTATAAAGATTTGGGTAAGAAGACTTTGGCTACTTTGTCCTCTTGTTAAACCAAGTTCTTCTCTTTGGTGTTCTTTCTTGGGTGAAATGGCAATGTGTGTAATTTTTTTTTTTGCAGGGGGAGTACCAAGGATCAAATTCACCACCTTACACTTGCCTGGCAGGTGCTTATGCATCTGAGCTAAATCCCTGGCCCTGTAATATTCGAGAATTTGTTGTTGTTGTTGTTGTTGTTGTTGTTGTTGTTGTTACTTGAAATTACAGCCAGGCCTTGTCAGCTAGAACCATCAGCAGCCCATATCAGTGTGCCCACTCCCCCTCTACCCTCCACCCCTCACTTGCTACTACCACCACCACCTGGTATTCTGCCACTGTCCTGATGGATGGGTGACTTCTCATGTTTACAGTTAAAGTTGCACATCACCCAAAACATCAGTATCAGCTGTTCGTTCTGACCACCACATCTCTCCATCCTAATACTAAAATTCTGTGAAGGAATCCTAGTTGGTCTAAATTATCCTTTTAGGACAGACCTCACAGATGCTCTTTTCCTCCTGAGTACCTGCTCCTTTTCCAGTCAGCTGGTGAGGAGGACGCTGCCATGGCCACCAGCCTAACAGTTAGGCCTCTGAGCAGCAGCCAGCTAGGCATGACCTATATGCCATTGGGTGTTTGCTGAGTACTGGCTTCATAGCTTCTGGAGATCTAGGGCTCTCAAGGATCTCATGGGAGAGGGGTCGTGAATAAAGGAGAATTAGTATGCAAGTCAGATGATGCCTAAAATTGCAAGAAACCACAGACAATGGGGTGTTAGGTAACTTTTCTTTGTGGCTGGACTGTCACTGAAATGGGCCACTTCCTTCACCACAGCTGTGTGAGATAGGTATCTGGATGTTTAAAGAGGTTACCAGTGTTCTGTAACAGGTGGAGCTGAAGACTATACTGTCAATATTCCTCCCTTAGGTTAAATATAGCCCCCAACACATGGATGTGCATGGGGACTGCACCCAACTCCTACAAAAGATTTACAGCTGATCTGGAGGGAAAGAGACTGAAAATTCCATGAATTCTTAGAATATAGTTGAGGTAGGTTACTTCCCAGGGTAAATAGACATTGGCACATTTCATTTCCTGTCTGTAGGCCACAGACTTGCTTGAATACTTCACTGTGCTGAAGTATGAATAAACAGTGTTCCTATTCAGTGCTACTGTAGAAGCAGCATGTATGAATTCCAGTGTGACAGACCCCTAGTCCCTGCTGCTGAGCAGCTCCCAGCACAGGTTACCATGGGAGTAAGATAGGTGCAAAGAAGATAGAAGGAGGTAAGAGCAGACAGGATTGCAAGAAGGCTAAGAGTATGTTTATATTTAGGAGTCTGTAAAGAGTATACGATTTGAGTGGAATAGAAGTCAAGAGATGACAGGAAATAGAGCTAAATGAAATCCATTACATCCTATAGCAAAGCCTATGTAATATGGCTCCGCAAGTGAACACTAAGAACTTGAGGGAAGTATCACGTGTTCTAAGGAAGAGGAATTAAGATTTGATGGAGGTTCTGTTTGCATGTAAGTGTACATTTGCATTATTGATAGTGGAAGCAGAGAGGGAAATTTTCTTCCTGACTACATTTTTTTTATCTTTTTATTTTTTGTCTTTTTCCTTTTTATCGGTACCGGGAATCGAACTCATGACTGCCTGCTTGCAAGGCAGGCGCTTATGCCGCTGAGCTAAATCCCCAGCCCCTCTGACTACATTTTTAACCTCATTTCTCTGAGCAGACTTGATCATAGTAAAAAATCCTTGAGTGGAGGCTGCTGTGTTGAATGCTCAGAAAAATAAAGCATGTTGGGCCTTGGCCTGAGCAAGAGGGCACAGTGGGCTTCACATGAAGGTGTCATTTCTGAATTCAGTTTGGACTTTATTTTTTAATTGGCTGTGGAAAGCACCTGTTGGGTACTCCTCAAGAAACCACAGTAACCCTCAAAGAGGTTGGTCAAGTAAGTGAAGGCTTTGTAACTATTTTTCATTTTGGAAAACTGGACCCTTGGATGTCAGCTCTCAGCAAAGTAGTCTTTGCCCTTTTCTCCATCAGCAGGAACAGGATTACTAATTCCATTTAACGTATCAGTGTCTCACTTGCTAATAGCACAAAGGTGATTGCTTTGAGTTGCATTAGATAATGCAAAGTGCTGTAAAGGTGTGTAATTTTTAGTATTCAGTGTTTGATAAATATTTCTGTCATCCTGAAGCAGAATCGAATCTAAACTACTTAGTGTAGCATCCAGAACTCTTAATTATCTTAGAGTCAATAAGCTCCCAAAGCAAATGCCTTAGAAATGTCACTTAACTGTGGCAGGCTTTCCCTCTCCCTGCCATAAAGGCCTCCTATCTAGTTTCTTATTCTCCTTCAACCTCACCAGCCTGTTCTTTCTGAAGTTTACCAGTGATTTTATTCTACTGTTCTTAGCCATTGTGCTGGCTCAGATCTGTCTGATAGCATGCCATCACGTACAGAGTAAATCCAAATTTTCTACCATGGTCTTCAGACCTCTCGTTAACCTCCTCCCCATCTTCCTCTCTCCCTTGTCCTCCAGCACAGTTAGCACTATGTGCCATTTTCTATTTAGTTCACTGCCTCCCCTCATAGACTAAAAACTGCAAGAGTGCAGGTTTTTCTCTACGTACCCAGGCTCTGAAGTAGTGCCTAACTCATAAAATACTTCCTAAGTGTCTAGAGAATGAACTCAAAACCCCCATCTTTACAGAATATTGTATCACATACTCACTGACATTGCTTCCTAAAAGGCAGCCAAAAATTCCCTAAGTGAGTAAGCTCAGGTCACATGAAATCCTCTCATCTTTCCTTCCTGATATCTATGAATATTACATATTCAATGACAAGTGTCTCCAGAGAGGATATTCCTACACGTCACCTCATGCTTCCCACACAAGCCAAACACGGTCAATAAAAATTAACTTTTCTAAATATTATCCAGTTGTCCAAGATAGAGTCCTTGGCATCCAGGCTCTCTTGCCTTCACCCCAAAGTCTGCTCCACCTGCCATGTGCTTTCCAGCACCCTGTCAGTCCCCTCGTTCCTCCCTGGTTCCAGCCGCTGTCACTCCGTCCTGAGTCGCTGGGGCAGCTTCCGCCAGCCTTCACCCCGATATCCCCGCCCACCCCAAAACTGCCTCAGGAGTTTCTGTCATCTCTCGAAACCACGCCAGGACCCGGCTGCTGGATCAGACAGAGCCAATCTGATGCTCCTTTCAAGCCAAGGATGCAATCCTGCCAGCTTTCCCAGTAACTATTCTGCCCTTGGAGGCCTCTCGTCAGAGGTCAGGCGCTGCTCCCCTGGACCAACTTTCCTGCTCTTCTGGTCAACTTCTCTTGGTGTACAGCTTCCTGGTCGTTATTTCAAGGTAGACACTGAGCTCAACTCCGCACTAAACCACTCCGCGCGGTGTATGAGCAGAATGGGGGCATGGCGAAAACCCGCAGAGGCTTCTGGGAAACGTAGTTCAAAACCGCAGCGCACAGAGTCGAACGGGATTGCCCGTCTGCGCAGACGCAGATCTTCACAGTCGCCACCGCTTCGCCTTCTGGGATGTGAAGTCCTGCAAACAGAAGGGCCGCAGCCCTAAGACTTGTGGGAACTGGGGTCCGCGGGTCCCATGGCAACACGCAAGCGCAGTGCGGACCTCGGGAGGTGTGAGGACTCTGGGCTCATTGTGTACTGACTGCGATGTGGTGGCTGCGGTCTCTCGCCGGCGGCAGAGGCTCCTTGAAGGGCAACCTAGCGGTGACCAGGCACGGTGCCAGAGCCGCGAAGAGGGGCGTTGGTGGGGTGGTCAGGTCTGGGAAGAAGGCTGAGGGAATGCTCAAGAGGTCCGGCTCGTGATCCGTGCCGGGCGACCCTGGTCTGATGCCCCAAACTTGGCAGCCTGTCTGTCTGAGCTTTTATTCTACATGGAAGAGAGCGGCCGACAGGCTAGGGCATCTTGGGTGTATGGTCCGAGTCTAAGTCGTGTGGAGCGCACGGGCGAGAGCCTCCCCCGGCGCGTGGCAGATCGTGAGCCCGTGACAGGGTTTGCCGAGGCGGAGCGGGAGCCGCAGTGCAGCCCTGCAGCGCCTCCCCGGGGACCGAGCGCGAGGCAGGGCACACAAGCTCGCTGTTTCAGGCCTCGCCTTTGACTCGGGGTCACCCAGATAGAGGCTGAGGCAGCCGAAGAACGTGGCCTGAGAGACTTCGACCATGAGGATCTAGCCGACTTGGAGCGCGTCTTTTCAGGAAAAAGAAATCGATCAGCTCTTTTCTGCTCCTCTCTGCACAGCAGTCCCAGAGGAGACTGTTCCTTACGCACAGCTTTAGGAGAAATGCCAGAGAGTGGGTGCAAAGTAGGAAAACTAAAACTGGGGCTGGTGCAAGCTTTCCACAAGGCGAAGCATTTTAGACAATGAAGGGTGAAGAAAAGATGTGAGAGGAAGCTGGGAGGATCCTCTCAGAAGCGGGATCGGGGTGTGAATGCTCACAGACTGGCTCCTGCTTGTGCAACACCTTCTGACTCAGCACTCTTTAACAGGTGTGCCGAAGCTTCTAGCCTGAGGAATCACACGTTTGCAAAGCACCCCACTGACTTCAGTACTTTGCATCAGAAAAGAGAGAATGGCGCTGAGCCACCTGCCAACCTTCGCCCAGGTGAGTAGGGTTTTCTATATAAGTTGCCTTCTGATTCGAAGAATGAGGATGTTTCTTCCCCTGCCCAAGACCCTCATTCCCGCTCCAGTCTCCCCCAGACAATGGACTTAAGTTGTCCCCTCTCACCCCATGTTGGGCTCATCCACGTGGACATTAGAGCTGATGACTTGCTAAAAATCACATAAGGGGCACAAGTGGTTAGTCAGAAATGAAAACCTTTCCCCTGGCACAGTTTCCACACAGTAAGATTAGAGGTCTAAAGTGATAAAGACCTGACAGCTCTGGAAAGGTTTATTGATCTCTTTTTCTTAAAATATTATTCAGATTTTTACTTAATATAAATATTGAGTACCAATGAAATTATTCAAAAGACTTCTTTTGTGGGGTGGGGATTTAGCTCAGCTGTAGAACATTTGCTTGGCATGCTTAAATCCTGGGGTTCATCCCTAGCACACCTTCCCACCAAAAAAAAAAAGTTCTTCCAAATTCAGTAAATTACTAAAAAGCTCTGAGTGGTGCCAACCCATTTAAAATGAGTATGCAGCTAAGCATGATGGCACACACCTGTAACCCCAGCACTCTGGAGGCTGAGGCAGGAGGATTGCCATAAATTCAAGGCCAGCCTGAACTACATAGTGAGAACTTGTCTCAAAATAAAAATAAAATAAGAGTATACAATTTGCTTTGAAGGAGACGCATTCATGCATTCATTTGGGTGTCTAAATTCTGGTGCATTGGGCAAAATTTTTCTAATTCCTTCACATTTAGAGCTTTACCTAGTCAATGCCCACTTTACTCCACCTTGTAAAGGTTATGCCACTTCTCAGCACCATTATGTTGAAGACCAACCTAGCATACAAACATTTCTGAACTATAACAGTGTCACACTCATCTTGGCTTGTAGCCTGCATTACTTTGATTGCCACACAGCAGACATGTATCAGGGATTTTCAGTGTGCCGGGCATTCTGGTCTGTACCGGTGTGCCGGGCATTCTGGTCTGTACCGCAAACTCACAGGTGAAAACTCACTGGCTCATGAGTTTAGTTGAGCTGCCATGCGCTAGGGCTTTGTTGCAGGTAACAGAAGCCTGATTGAGATAGTCTTAATCAGAAGTCAGCAGGTATGGGAAAGATGCTGAGTTCTTTTCCCAAACCAAGAGGCAAAGTACTTTCTGTTAACCACTTGGTTTTCTTTGAGTTTCCACTTAACCTTTCTTTGGCAGTGTAGACCAGCTTCCAGTTAACTAAGAAGACTTTGTGAGAATACTAAATTTTACTTATTAGAATTGAGTTACCTGAGAGAGGCAATTTCTTCTGTCTTAGTTTGAAAAAAGAAAGGGCTAGTTGTAAATCAGAGGGAGCAGAGTCCCAGGGTATGAGATGTGTTTCCATGGTGTGTGTGTGTGTGTGTGTGTTTGTGTGTGTGTTAGATGGACAGCTGAGCAGTTGAAGAGATACTGAAAAGTACACACTGCATTATGAAACAGAGTGTGTCTTGAAAAAATGCATTACAAGGTGATTTCATCCTTGTGCAAATACCACAAACAGCATCCATGCAAATCTCAGTGACCAGGGTCAGCCATGTGGCTTCCTGATGCAGTCAGGATGGACATGAGATGTATGACGGTTTTAGCAGTGTGACACAGTGCGTTGTTCTACAAGGAGGTTTTGTCTTGCTTTGTTTTGTTTTGTTTAATAAGTAGGAATATATTCCACTAAAAGTATACTGGATATGGTAACTAGGAACGTTGTTTTCTGTCATAACCAAGTGATAGCAGGTGCTGTACGAGATTGTGTGTGCCACACTTCCATACACCTGGAACCACAGAAAGTACTGTACCCAGGGCCACCTTGAGTGCAGAAGCAATGCCCTGTGCTAAAACCTGACCGCAGCTGTAGGAGCATCACTAGGCAGTAGTGATTCTCAGTTCCATTATGATTAGTCCTATGGGGGCCCCGCCACATATGTGGTGTCACTGACCTGAGCATCACTGTGCTGTGTGTGACTTTAATAGTTGCTGAGTGTACAAGCCCTGCTGAAGATGCTAAGAAGACAAGGGAGACTTAGAGCTGTTCCATATTTTGGAGGTAGCAGTCCCAAGGAGGAGACTAAAAGGAAGCCAAAACTCACAGTGGAGTGGGCCAGAGCTGCAGCAGGTCCACATCGACGGGTGCAGCAGTAGCAGGGAAGGCTGTGCTGAAGTGGGCTGAGCAGAGACTAGGACTTGACCATGTTGGGGAAGATAGAGGCCAGGGCGGGCACATTGCTGGGGACGGGAGAAATGAACAGCAATACGTGGTCCCAGTGCTGAGGAAGCATGTCTTCACTACAGCCTGTGCCTCTTCGAAGTGGGAAGCTGTATTTAATTCAAAGTCCAGCCCCTAGCAAATGCTTGCTTGCCCCAGAACGCCAGCTTCCTATATGCTTACAGTCCTGTACATCCTCACACACACCAGGGGACTGCCTGCCTCAGCCTGCCCAGGATAGCTCCTGGCTGACAAGATTGGCTTTGCAGTTTCAGGACTTGGTGACCTTCCGGGATGTGGCTGTGCTCTTTACCCAGGAAGAGTGGGGACGACTGAACCCTCCGCAGAGGGCCCTGTACAGGGATGTGATGCTGGAAAACTACAGCAATGTCGTCTCACTGGGTAAGGCGGACCCTGGAGTGGGAACCTTGGTAGGACCTTCAGACTGATGCCACCCCGGTGTGGCATGGAAGTGGGCCTGTCCAGAACGCTGTCTTCAGAGCTGCTCAGTGCCTGTCTGTCATCCCAGGCCTATTTTAGTCCTGAGTGCAAATGCCTCAAAATCTGAGGGTTGAATCCCCCTCCACCTTTTTCTAGCAAGGAGAGGGATGTAGGAACAGGTGTCAGGGTCAGGCCTGGGCCATTCTTCCTTCTCCAAGCATGTGACCACCTGGGCCTTCCTGTCCAGGCCCCCTTTCTGGGAAGTTCTGAGGTCAGGTCTCATCCTCACAATGATTTTTGTCTCTATTATGAGTAGATGTCGCTCTTATTTTTCCCCTCAAAAACAGGCCTCTTAGGACCCAAATGCAGTATGTTTTCTCAGCTGGGAAAGGAAGAAGAATGGGTGCCGGAGGTGGCCGCAGGAAGCTCCTGTCTTGGTAAGAGTGACACACAGGGGAGGCGGTGGGGGGAAATGGGTGGGCAGGGTAGGCCTGACAGCTCAGCCAGTGTCCCAGGATACACTGCAAATTGTCTTGCTCCTTTCTTGGGCCAGCTGTGCCTCTCTGAATCCTCCCCTCGCTGACATTTTTCTCTCCTTGTTTGATATGAATTAAGAGGCTCTGGTTTTAAAAAGACCTCAGCTGTCATGCGGGCAGCTCTTGCCCACCTCATGCATCCTGTCCCACGCCCAGCAGTATGAGGTCCATTGGCTCCTCTCTACGGTCACACACAGGAGGGCAGCTTGAGTGCCATAGATGCTGTCTCCTCCAGGGAGCATTGCACCTCGTACTGGTGCCTGGTAGCTGTTCATCTGTATAGATGTGCAGTCCCACCAGCACAGGACTGTCTTCTAGCTCTTGCCAGACTACAGGTGCCAGGCGGGCCAGCTTGGCCATGCATTTTGCTGCATCAGTCACACCTGGCACAAAGCTCGGCTGCCTGAAGCAGCCATGGCTGTTACCTGAGCGGCTGTGAGTATCATGGTTCTGTGGCTGCAGCTTGTCCCCAAGAACCTACTGGGTCTGGTGCACAGGGCGGGGTGAGTCTTTCTACCACCACTTGACAGGCTAGAAAGCATATTACCTTAAATAAAATACACTAGCATGGCACTTTTAGCTAATATTTTGCAGGATTTAAAATAATTTTAGAAACCATTTATTAGTGCCTTTCATAGTAATCCAATGAAGTAGGCAGGAATTTTTATCTTGCCTTAATAACTACCCACCTGGAATGTCTAGGACCCAAGCCTTTTATGAAATGTATATTAATTCTAAGTCTCAGTTATCAAAAAAAACTCTTAGCCCAATAGAATTACAAATATTCTCAGAATTTGTATGTTGTGTTCCAACCAAATTAAAGCATTTTAAATGTTTCGTTCTGTATTATACTAGTTATTATATAGAAAAGAAGATGATGGGGAGATTAACCAAAAGAAACTGGTCCACAGTCCTACTAGTATGGTGTGGCTATTTGTATTTAAGTCACTCAATCAGCTGTTCATTAATGGTTCACTCCAGGCCCTTACTGTACATGTATGGGAAGAATAGGAAGATGCAGAAAGACTTTTCAGGACAGCGGGGTTTTATAGGCAGGAGTGTGTGTTGACATGAAGCACAGCCAAGCATGTTAAGTGAACCATGTTACTCGTTTTGACTAGAAATTACTGCCAGAAAGAAATGCTAGCGATTCCCAGTGTTTATTCCACTCTTGTCACTCCTGATTCGTACTCATCTTTAAATGATTGTTGGTTTTCATTTTTAGTTTTTCTTATTCCTGGAATCCCTTAATGACTGGCCAGGACCCTAACGGCCATATAGAATCCTAATAGGCCTATTTCTAATCTTCAGGGTGCAGGTTAAACATCTGTACTGTTCCAGAATCCAACATTTTTGAGCCTGGACATGCTGCAACAAGTAGAAATGTGCGCACCTGACTTCGTGTGATAGGTTGCAGCATGAATGCAGCCTCACTAAAGACTGCGCCAACAACCGTCTGGGTGTGTGCACGGTGAGGCTTGCATGACACAGAAATAAGGTTCCTGTTTAATCCTGTGTTCTTCTGTAAAGTAACTCTATGATATGCAGCTATTCCCAAGCCTAGAACGATCCGAGGCACTTCATGTAAGAGGTCCTTAAGCTGTATTAAGTCTGGAACTTTGCAGGATTGTCCTCGTTACTCTTGGATTAGACTAGACAGTCATTTTTCATCTTAATAGGACGAGTCCTTCTGAGCCACAGCTTTTCTTTGTTAAGTTTGCTGCTTCCTGCCCTGTGAAGTGCTGTCATAGAGGGAGACGAGAGCTGATGGTTGAGCATTTGCTGGGTGAATGGGGTGGGGGGGTTGCATTGCCCTGTTTAATCCCGATGACCCGTGATAATGTGTGATTAACCCACGTCATCAAAGACTGAGTCTCCAGGGCAGTTAGGACTGATATTGCTGTTACATGGCCAGTCAGGATTCGCAGAAAGCCAGCAGGACTGCAGCCACTGGACTCTACTGCTGCATTTTTTTGCTTTTCCAAAATACTTTTAATGAACACAGGTATCGTTCCTTCCATAAACTCAAAGAAAAGGGCATGACCTCTTAGTTCGAGTAGTTTACTAGTAACTTTTTAATTTCTTCCTTACATATTCATCTCTTTGGACTCCTTGTTTACACCAATTGTTTTATTCATTCTAACTTACCTTTTGTGAGCTATAAAATGTACTAGTAGCAACCATGTATGTATCTGTAGTTTTAGCATTGTGTGTTACGTCCCCTGTTCATTTTCCACTTCATTTGTACTTTTTCTCATAAGTTCACAGGGAATTTTTTTTGGTGGGGGGAACTAGCACTTCTACACTGCTCTTCTTGCTGGTTTCTATACTTACAGTTATTATTTCCTTCTTCTTCCACTTTAAAACATGTGTTGTTAGTTGTGTGCATTGCATATAAAAGAGAGTGAGTCATGTGTGGAAGGCTGTAAAGGACAATAAGGAAATAGTACCCACCCTGCTACCTGCTTCGGAAGGGCCGTGGCACAGCCATCTCCTCCTCCTGCACAGAGCCGCTGGCTTGGCTCTACGCAGTGTCTCCTGGGCGTCCCTCACAGGTTTACCACATGCGTGCAGCTTCACACACGCCTTCACTTTCCCCTGCTTTACTCGGGTGTGTATGTGCCGTGAGATGCACACGCAGGACACAAGTTTCCACACTTGACTTTCCCCATCCGTATGAGGCCCGAAGCTTTGGGTGCTCCTCCCTTAGTAACCCCGCTTTCGTGTACCCATCCTCCTGCCACCCATGGACACGTGGATTGTTGCCAGGCTTCCCTCAGTGTTCAGTAGCGTGATTTGAGTACTCCTATGCAGATTTTCTCACGTACCTGGGAGTTTGGGGGTGCTCAGGGATGGAGAGATGCTGCCCCGGATGTCGGGTAAGTTGTCAGTGCAGGTTCCTGTTGTTTAACCTCCTTGCCAGACGCCGGCCCCTCACACTTTTAGAAACTCTGCTTCCCTCACTCCTAGAAGCGAGCCTCACTGGGCTTTTCCTCTGCGCTTCCCGTATTCTGAGCGAGGGTGAGTGTTCTCTCATGTTCACTAATTGTTTGTGTACTGTGACTTGTGTACTGCTTCCCTTGCTCATTTTTCTGTGCTGGTTTCTCTATTCATCCACAGTTCTTTCTGCATCCAGGAACTCAGCAGTCAGTGTGTGTCACTGCCTGTAGCTTGTTCTTCTCCTGCCTGTAGCTTGTCTCATTTCTTTGTAACAGAAGTTCTCAGTGGAGTAATGATAGATTTCTCCTTTGTCTTTATTCCTAGTGTTTTCTGTGTTAATCTTTTCTATCAATGAAGGATCAACATAAGGAGAGGTTCATCCTGTTTGCTATTGTGTCCTTGGCACACTAGGTCTCAGTGTTTGTTGAATGAAAAATTAACTCCAAATAATATTTACTTTTGTCTTTCCCATGTCTTGTCAGAGGCTTGTCCTTTTATTAGCCTTTTTAACAAAATTTAACTTTTGTGATCTCCTGTTTATCTATATTAATTCTTTCACTATTTCTTTCCTTCTCATTTTTCGGAGTGTATTCTATTCTTCTTTTCCTTTATTTTGTCCAAGTAATGCCTGCATAAGTCTACAAATCTGATGATTCTGTATTTATGAGCAGCATAATAAGCCTCATACCCGTTTCTCCATTCCTCCTTCTCAAGGTGATGACTCCTCTTCTTGTGCTGATGATGAGATGTCTTGTTTCTGTGGTCCAGGTGGCGTGTTCATATTGCTACCTCTTGACTTTACAGAGTCCGACCAATTAAGGAAACTCTAGCAGTGTAAGCGTCAGTAGCTGATGTAAAGCTGGGCATGGTGGGACACAGCTATAATCCCAGCACTCCAGGAGGCTGAGGCAGGACTGCAAGTGCCACCCCACTTGGGACAAATTAATGGTTTAGCAAGACCCATTGCAAAGAGATTTGGTGGTGACTGGGAATGTAGCTCAGTGTGAAGGCCCTGGGTTCAATGCTGAAGAAAAAGAACACTAGACGTTGGTGTCTTTTAAAACCGTCTCCCAGGTTTTCTTCAGTAAACTGTTTTTGAAGTATGTTACAGGACGGTGCACACGTCATCAGTGTCCAGTTCAGTGATTTTTAGCAGTAAAAACACATCTGTGTTTAGTACCCCTGTCACAAAGTTGAACATTGCCAGCACCCCAAGACCCCTGTAGTTCCATCAGCCTCTTTTGTCCTTAAAGGTAGCAGCTGGCTTACCTGTGTATAGAGACTTAGGGAGACCTCGTCTCAAATTAAAACGGAAGACACAGCGGTGGGGATGTCGCTCACTGCGAAAGCCCTCGGTTCAGTTCCCGGAGTCACTTAACAGGAAAAAATAGTTGGAGATGTTCCTTTTCAGTTCTCCAGAAGACCTGATGTACTAGTAGAGTGACTTCTTCCATAATCATTGGAAGGATTCCTAGAGAAGCCATCTCTGCCACTGAGAAAGCTTTGAACTGAAGACTTTATATAGATACTGTTTCTTCTTGTGCCTATTATGTTGCATCACACATTTCTACCATGGGAGCTTGAGTCTTTTTCTATAAACAGTCACATTTTTTGCCATAAAATGTCTTCATTGTGTTCTTATTATCTTATTAATCTCTGCAGACTCTGTCCTGATGTGACCTTTAACATTTTTGACATTAGTAATATGTGCTTCCTTCTCATCTTGATTTAGCTTGTTAATGGTCTTATCGATTTTTTATTAATGTCTTTTCTATATTGTTTCTTTCCTCATAGAGTTAATTTTGCTGTTGTTTTAATTTTGAGATTAGTAATCAATGTATATTTGTATATTACCTCCTAAAATGGGTTTAGCTGTGTTTTATAAGTTCTAATTCATATCGGTATTCAGATTTAGTTAAAAGTATTTTCTAAAATATATATGTAGACTCTAATTTTTGTTATGATTTCTTATTTTGTGTATCACTTATTTAGAAATGTATTGTTTAAAGGCTGTTTTATTCTGTTTTGTGTTTCTGTATTAAATCCTACACACTGGGTAATTAATAAAGAAAAAGTTTATTTAAAGTTCATGGTTCTGGACTCTGGAAAGCCCAGGATCAAAAGGCCACATGTGGTGAGAGCCTTTTTACTGTGTCCTGAATGACAGAAGGCATCACTTGGGGTGAGAACATGTGAGTTTGTGGCAGAAGAGGAGGGGATGGGGTGCCCAGCTCACCCAGAACCACTCCTGCAGTAAGTGACCTGCTGTCACCGGGACAGCACTCATGTGTTCTTGAGGACAGACCCCAGGCTTCCTTCCTTCCACTTAGTGCTGGGCACTGAGGACTGGCTCTAAAGCATGGGTGATCTGGCCTGCAGATCAATCCATGGGATATACCTGGAGGCGAAACGGGCATTAAATAAAGACATAGGGGAGACAAAGAGAGATGGAAGCAAGTCAAGAGAATCCGATCAAGCCCCCAGTGTATTCCGGAAGTGATTACATCTTTTATAGGCCAAGGGCGGGAGGTGGGACAGGAAGAGGCTAAGGGGATGAATACAACAGGGTCACTGTCATGTCCGGGTATGTGACGTAAGCAGGAGAGGATTATGGTTAATGTAGGCAGACACAGTGCCCATAGGAGAGAGAGAGGCAGGGAGGCAGCAATGGGCTGTTGCATGGCTCCCTACACATGGGCTTTGGGAGACACGGTCAGCTCATGGCAGAACTATGTTCAAATTTTCTAATTAGCCTGTGGATATTACGTACATTTCAGGCCTCATTCCACTGAGTTCAGAGAATATATTCTGAATGATCACTATTCTAGTCAATTTTAGTAATCAATGACTTTAAAAAATGTATATCTTGTCATGGTTGAGTATAGTGTTTCAGGTGTGTAAATTAGGTTAAATTGATTTGTTGCATTGTTGAAATTTACCTTCTTAATGGTTTGATTTCTGATCATCACAAGTGGCATGTGAACATTTCTCACTATAGTTATTGATATGTCTGTTTTTCCGTTTCATTCTCTTAAGTTTTTTGCCCTTTTTTTTTCTTGGTAGCAGAAATTGAATTCACGACCTTGTGCTTGCTAGGCAGGTGCTTATGCCACTGAGCTATATTCCTGGCCCCAAGTTTTTTGCTTTTGAAACAAAATATATTTTGAAGTTATATTACTTGTCTGCAAATGGAAATGTGTTATATATTCTTGAAAAATTGACCATTTTGTCAGTGTGAAATATCTTAAAGTCTGTTTTCTCTAAATCATTTTTTGTTTTCCATCTGAATGCTCAAATGAATGGATAGAACATAAAAATGTGGGATTTTCCCTTGGTGTTTTTCCTCACCAAGTACAGGTTTCATTGATTTTATAAGCTCACATCTGGGTTCTCTTAAAAGCCATATCACAACTTCCAGGAGAACATGGCGGACAGATAACAGCAACTACGGAGGCTCTCTGAAAGACTCAGCTCAGAAGTCAGGAAGGGTGCGGAGTAAGGAGACATAAGCCGGTGGAGATATGCTCTGCTGACTCAGGAACGAACTGGGCTGAGAGAAACCAACTTGGAATGCAGTCCTGGTGCTAGAACAGGAACAGAAAAGCCTCAGTGTGAAGGCTGGAGCCCGCGCCATTGGAAGCCGCGATTTGGGTTTCCCGCCACGTGGCGGCTGCCTCTACATCGGCACGGCAAGGAGAGAGACGCACGGAAGCTGTGAGAACGGGAATCTGCGAACGGAGTCGAAAACAGGATGGGCAGGGAGGCGTGCACTGACTTGTGGTGAGGTGAGTGAGAGAAACTGACACTCTACCACATTTTGACTCCAGTGGAGGACATTCTGGGCCCGGGCAGTCCTGTGGGAGCAGGGCGCGGTGGTGACTTCAACCACACATCCCGCTCTCAGGCAGGATTGGTGAGGGGTGCCTAGCCTACGTGACACTGCTGGCGGACCCAGTAGGCTAGCCCAACCCAGATCCCAGAGCCTGACGGTGGCCTGGAGGGGCGGCCCCGCGTAGGCTGCCTGGTCTGGAACTTCCTAGTGTGCTGCGGTGGGTGGGGACACCTAACCGGCGCAATTCGATCAGGCTGTGGCTGACAGGGAGGAAAGCTGGGCCTCCTATATAAGCTTGCATATATAAGGAACAGAGAATATGGGAAGAGGCAGCAACAAGAAAGGCTCTTCGGCCCCCAATTCAGAGAAACAGGTAATAGCAGACACCGCACCAATAGACATAAAGCGCCATCTAGAGAGCCTCATAGACCAGTTCAGGAATGAAGTTATCAACGACCTGAAGCTAGAAGTATGCAGAATAGTTAGAGAAATGCTAAGCACCACCCAAGAAAAAAACAGATGGTGGAATGGAAGAACAGAAAAAGAGGGGAGAATTGTTTGATGGAGAAAACAGAGAAAGCATAGAATACGTGAAGCAGGTGCAAAGGGACTACCAAGAAACTAAAAAGTCTATTGAAAACTGGCATAACAGCTTGAAAGAAACTAAGGACAGACTATCTGAACTGGAGGGCAGATTTGTAATATGGGAGAATGAAATGAAAAACTTCTTAAAAATAACAAAGAAACAAACAGCAATAATATAAAGACAAGAAGATGATAAGAGGATCCATAACTTAAGAATTAAGAACATAAAAGAAGAAGTAGGGACTCAAACAAATGAACTACAAAAGCTACTCACAGAAATAATCCAGGAGAATTTTCCTAATTTAGCAAAAGGTAAAAATACTCAGATGTATGAGGCATACAGGACCCCAGCTACCTACAACCCAAACAGAGCAACACCCAGACATATAATAATAAAAATTCCAGAAATTCAATACAAGAACAGAATATTAAAAGCTGTCAGAGACAAGAAACAGACCACTTATAAGGGAACACCCATCAGAATTACAGCAGATTTCTCTGCACAAACCATCAAATCACGAAGAGCGTGGGGGGAAATAATTCAAGCTTTGAAAGATAATAATATCCAGCCAAGATTGAGATATCCTGCACAACTGTCCCTGGAAATTGATGGAAAAACAAAGTGCTTCCAGGATAAAGAGGAACTGGAGGAATTTGCAACCACCAATTCAACTCTACAGAGAGTATTGCAGGATATTCTAAAAAAAGAAAAATACAAAGAATCCAGAAATAGTGGTGGGGAGGCCACAATGAATGGAGCAGAGAACAAAATGAAGAAGACAAACTGACGGCTACTGACAGAAAAAGAGCTCAACAGAAATGAGGCAGAGAAGATTGGATGATAGGAACAGCTATTTTGGAGAAAATGACATCTTAATAGGTAATACTGATTTAGTATCATCTTGTTTTGAAGTCTCATCAAGCTTTTGTTCTTCTGTCTCCATTGGTCTAAATAGGTTGTATCTTATTGGATTTTATTATGTATGATAGGATAAGCAAAAACCTTTTAAAGACAAGGAGATTATATAGAAACCATTGTTCATTTTCTGTTAGTCGATTCTAAATACCCTGTAATGCGGTCATTGTCTTAAATGGTTTTACATTGTTTTGATATATTTAATGCTACAGTATACGAAGTTGTACTCAAGGATTTCAAGGAAAGAGACAATATGGTAACTACTTTTATGTCAGGATTATCTGGTGGTGAAACACTATTCTGCTTAAATGGTTATGTTTTGATCTGCGCTGTTTTGCTGTTATGCCCTCTTTTATCTCAATCTCCACTCCATTATTTACTTTTTTATTTTTATCCTTTTAATTAAGGGAAAAATAAATAAAAATAGCAGGATATATTATAGTAACCCACTTTGACTTTCCATTATCTCGATTTAAAGCCCTGTATTACCATCTTGTTTTTGACTGATGTTCCCCTATTCTGTTTTGCTGGATAGTATCAGGTTTGAAAGTTTAGGCATCAGCTGTGAAGATAATGAGATTCATTATGACGCCCATTCTCGTTGACTTTTATCTACTTTTGAAGACCTACAATGTCTCCAATGTTTTGGTTTTGTCGGTTTTGTTCTTTACTGTTTTGTTCAATTTTATTATAACTGATGATGTAGGCAATTCTATTAGAGATGGCGGGAGGCATTATGGTAACCATTGTTGATCACCTTGTATTATGTTTTTACATTATCTATTATGTCCACCCTTTTGATTTGACTGACTCTGTTCTGTTATGTCACATTTGGTTTTACTCTCTTCCAAAAAAAGTAATAAGAACCGTGGGAGCAATAAAACCCAAAACGTGTAATAGTCATTGTACAAAAGAGAGGAAAAGAAAGTGCTCTAAACTATATAACTGCATGTATATTTAAGTGTATAAGATAGAAAATGATATTACTGAGTTTTGTTGGATCATTGAACAGAATGTTTGCAGTGTCATTGTTGGAATGTCCACTTTACAAGCTTTAATTTTGTGACTTGAACAGTTATTTCTGGGATGACAATGTGTAGTCCATTAACTAGTGATTTCCTACTGTTTATTTTTTTTTTCTGTAGATCTGTATAACTTGTACCCTCTCTCTGCTTTTTTTCCCCTTAAATAAAATTTTTTTAAAAAGCCATATCACGAGAATAGACAAGTTTTATATATATGTATTTATATTTATATTTATACACACACACACACACACACACACACACACACACACACATCATGGTCTGTATTCAGTTTTTATGAGGCTTAGAGAGTCAGGTAGCTTCTCGGATCACAAATAAAATAAGCTGTGCAGTCAGGAGTCCAGCCCAGACGTGGGACCTCTGCAGTGAGCTCCACACCTCTCCTCCTCACACAGGAGTCTTTCCTTCCCTGTTATCACTGGAACAAATCTTTGTTAGTGCAGCTCACAGCTCAGCGCCTCATGCCACTGCTGTGTTCATCAGGCTAGAATAGATGGTCTTATTTTCTTATTTTTAATGTCTTGCAGACTGGATGACCGTGACTGTGAGTAAGGCCTCTGCTCTGCAGACAGACCTTCCCAAAGAGCAGCTGGATCCACAGACAGTTAAGAAATGGCTGACCACAGGCAGTCCCTGGAAATGTGCCAGCCTGTTGCAGTGTGCGCACCAAGAAAGTCAGAAGATGAACTGGCAGCCAGTGGCCTCTGCCCATCAGGACACCTCACCAAGAGTCGGGCAGCAGCAGGGCCATGAGTCTGGGAAGGGCTGCCCAAAGAGCTCCTCGCGCGTTCAGAGCCGGGACTTGCAGCCAAGCAGAAAAAGCTTTGAATGTAATGAGTGCAGGAAAGTCTTCTCCAAGAGTTCCACGCTTAGCAAGCATCAGAAAACCCATGCTGAAAAACTTACCATAAGCCAGAAAGCATACATGAAAGAGAAACGGTACGAGTGCTGGGAGTGTGGGAAAGCCTTCCACCAGAGCACACACCTCATCCATCACCAAAGGATTCACACGGGGGAGAAGCCGTATGAATGTAAGGAATGTGGCAAGGCCTTCTCAGTGAGCTCCTCGCTGACCTACCATCAGAAAATCCATACTGGAGAGAAGCCTTTTGAATGCAACTTGTGTGGGAAAGCCTTCATCCGGAACATACATCTTTCCCACCACCATAGAATACATACTGGAGAGAAACCTTTCAAATGTAACATTTGTGAAAAAGCCTTTGTGTGCAGGGCACATCTTACCAAACACCAGAATATTCATAGTGGCGAGAAACCCTATAAATGTGGTGAATGTGGGAAAGCTTTCAACCAGAGTACAAGTTTTCTTCAGCATCAGAGAATCCACACTGGAGAGAAACCCTTTGAATGCAATGAATGTGGAAAGGCCTTCAGGGTGAACTCTTCCCTCACTGAACATCAAAGAATTCACACTGGAGAGAAACCTTATAAATGTAGTGAATGTGGAAAAGCCTTCAGGGATAACTCATCCTTTGCACGCCATCGGAAAATTCACACTGGAGAGAAACCCTACAGATGTGGCTTGTGTGAGAAAGCCTTCAGGGACCAATCAGCCCTGGCCCAACACCAGAGAATTCACACTGGGGAAAAACCTTACATGTGTAACATGTGCGAGAAGGCCTTCAGTGATCACTCTGCCCTCACCCAGCATAAGAGAATCCACACAAGAGAAAAGCCCTACAAATGTAAAATCTGTGGGAAAGCCTTTATCCGAAGCACGCATCTTACCCAACATCAGAGAATTCACACAGGAGAGAAACCCTATAAATGTAATAAGTGTGGGAAAGCTTTTAATCAGACAGCAAACCTCATTCAGCATCAGAGACATCATATTGGGGAAAAGTGATACGTGACTGCAGTTTGTAGGGAAGAGCTTCGATTGAGTAAATTAGTTACTGAATACGAGAGAACCCATTCTAAAGTATACCTATGATGCTCATCATATTGACTAAGGCAGGATTCACCACATCATAGTTTTTGCTGAGAATGGCAAACACATTTAGTTCTGCCTGGTTGAACAGCAGTACTTTTTTGTAGTCTGAATTACCAAGTCGCAGAACCAAAATGGAACTTCATTAATGATACAAAAAATGGTTTATAGAATCTGTAATTGTTAAGAGAATCATAAAATTATGAAAATTAAGGTTTAGAAGCCAAGGAACAAGAGAGTAAAAAGTGGTCTGTACACATCCCATTCTTGTAGATTGTCCTCTGTCAGAGCTGCCACTGTAATGTCACCTCTGTTCTCTCCTCACATACGCTCCTGACACCCATGAGGCCTAGGGAGAATTTAAATCATGCTTCCCCCACCCTGCTCCAAACCGTCTTTGGTCAGACATGGTCTGTGTGTCCCTGGCTGCTTACTCTGTTCTTCTGCTGGAAACCTGTGACCCTCTTTCTGACTTGGCCACTCCCAACTCTTAACATTGTGTCTTTTGTTACCACCACCCTTGGGAGTCTGACCTGACCTCATACACAGTATGCATCAGAATCTGCTGACTGGAATCAGAACCACAGGATGAACCTGAATCAGAATCACAATTTGGGGTTCTCCATTCTGGGGCCTGTTCCATCCAACCTCCTGAGTTACCCGGTTCGTTGGGGCCTCTGCCCAAGTCTGACATGGGGATGTGCATGCGCAGGGCTGTGCTTGCTAGCTGCTCCTCCCCCACCATTTGCACTGTACTGAGCTGCTCTGCACACAGCAGCTGGGCTTGCTTCCTGTGATGTGTGTGCATGTGTGCAATGACACCAGCCTCCTGTTGCAGTTGGAATTCCTGGCCCCCTTGACTTCTGTGACACTTTTGCTGGTGTGTGATTAGTGTAAGAGATGACAGCCTGAGGCCACTTCTCAGAGCCCTGGGCCTGCTCTGCCTTGTCCGGAGCGTCCCATGTTCACCACGTGAGAGCACATCTGCTGCTTCCAGGATAGTCAGCTGCAGCTTCCTGTCCCTGCTCAGCTTTTGTGTCAGGGTCTAAAGATACTAATGTTCACAGGAAACCCTTCAATTTGGCCTTTTCATTTGAAAGTAGCTGCTTTCTGTCCTTTGTCTTGGTCCTTCTGACAGTGTGAGCAGCGCATTGAGTAAGTTCATGGTCCAGAAGTGAGTCACAGTGCCATCAGCTTCTCTGGCAGGGGCCCAAATCAGAAGTGTGAGTGACACACTGGCCCTGCAAATGCAGCTCTCACCCCCATAATTCCTCGTGTTGTTCGTGGACAGCAGCAAACTATGCACTACTGCACAGGCGGCACCTGGCCACACCTCTTCCACCTCCAAGCTGCAAAGGAGTCGAGTACAGGGTGAGGAGAAAAGCTGGTCAACACTCAGGGAAGCCATGGGGCAGCTGCTGGCCACTGTGTGTCATTGTCGGCCTCTAGGCTGAGAGATGCTTAAGCTTCCAGCTGCTTTTAAGCCCAAGTTCTCAAAATTCAGCTTCTGTTGATAAAGGCCAGCACCTTTGGGCAGCATTTCCTGTCCAGCGATCAGCACCAAGACCTCCTTTGTCCACTGAGCACAGGAAAGCAGCATTCCAAGAGATTGCTTGGTGCTGCCCAGCTGCATGCCCACACAGTTTTCTGGGGCTTCCCAGGCTGACTGCTCCAGACTGCTCAGTAAACCTAGGAAACCATGCTCACTACTGCTGAGGCACCAGCCCTGTTGCCTGCCGAGTACCCTCTCACACTGCTGCCCTCACCTTACCTTTGCATCCCTGAGAAAGTCCTTTCTGAGCTGATTTTGCTGCTCATGGTGTTTGTTGAAAGCAGGAGAGTGGCACTGGCCTGCAGTTGGGCCAAAGCCTGGTGTCAGGGTGGAACCCTCCTCCAGCTAGTGACAGTGCCAGGAGCTGCTCCTCGGTGGTGGCCACCGGCTGACAGTGTCTGCTGAGATATGGTCTGCCCTCGAGAGCGCCTCCCTCACACATGGATCTCCATGAAATTAGACCTGTGGATCCCTGTATATTGCCACACAGGTCCCCTGACTATGGCAGAAGGTGATGGGCTGCTGTTGGGGACCCTCTGCTGGTGCAGAGTCAGGAAGCTGGAAGAGTGCTGCCCTCCTGTACCTGCTGCTCACTCAGTGCACAAGCAAGGGAGCCCCGGCACAAGCAGGACCACTGCCACCTCCAGAAGGTGAGGGAGAGCCTGGCCTCCACCCTGCCTTTCCTCAAGGAGCTGGGGAACCCATACAAAGTAGCAGTCCCACCTGAGGGGGAGGCCCCAGGACAGGATTCACACCTGGGGGGAGGCCCTGGGGCAGGATTCACACCTGGGGGGAGGCCCTGGGGCAGGATTCACACCTGGGGGGAGGCCCTGGGGCAGGATTCACACCTGGGGGGAGGCCCTGGGGCAGGATTCACACCTGGGGGGAGGCCCTGGGGCAGGATTCACACCTGGGGGGAGGCCCTGGGGCAGGATTCACACCTGGGGGGAGGCCCTGGGACAGGATTCACACCTGGGGGGAGGCCCTGGGACAGGATTCACACCTGGGTGGAGGCCCTGGGACAGGATTCACACCTGGGGGGAGGCCCTGGAACAGGATTCACACCTGAGGGAGGCCCTGGGACAGCATTCACACCTGGGGGGAGGCCCTGGGACAGGATTCACACCTGGGGGGAGGCCCTGGGACAGGATTCACACCTGGGGGGCCCTGGGACAGGATTCACACCTGGGTGGAGGCCCTGGGACAGGATACACACCTGGGTGGAGGCCCTGGGGCAGGATTCACACCTGGGGGGAGGCCCTGGGACAGGATTCACACCTGGGGGAGGCCCTGGGACAGGATTCACACCTGGAGGGAGGCCCTGGGACAGGATTCACACCTGGGGGGGGGCCTGGGACAGCATTCACACCTGGGGGGAGGCCCTGGGACAGGATTCACACCTGGGGGGCCCTGAAACATGATTCACACCTGGGGGCAGGTCCTGGGACAGGATACACACCTGGGTGGAGGCCCTGGGACAGGATTCACACCTGGGGGAGGCCCTGGGACAGCATTCACACCTGGGAGGAGGCCCTGGGACAGCATTCACACCTGGGGGGAGGCCCTGGGACAGGATTCACACCTGGGGGGAGGCCCTGGGACAGGATTCACACCTGGGGGGAGGCCCTGGGACAGCATTCACACCTGGGAGGAGGCCCTGGGACAGGATTCACACCTGGGGGGAGGCCCTGGGACAGGATTCACACCTGGGGGGAGGCCCTGGGGCAGGATTCACACCTGGGGGGAGGCCCTGGGGCAGGATTCACACCTGGGGGGAGGCCCTGGGGCAGGATTCACACCTGGGGGGAGGCCCTGGGACAGGATTCACACCTGGGGGAGGCCCTGGGACAGGATTCACACCTGGGGGGAGGCCCTGGGGCAGGATTCACACCTGGGGGGAGGCCCTGGGGCAGGATTCACACCTGGGGGGAGGCCCTGGGACAGGATACACACCTGGGTGGAGACCCTGGGACAGGATACACATCTAGACGCTGGTACATTTTTTTTTATATCAGTACCAGGGATTGAACTCACTACCGTGCACTTACAAGGCAGGCGCTTATGCCACTGAGCTAAATCCCCAGCTCCTGGTACATTCTTCAGCAGCTGCTGGAACTCCCTGGTTTTGAGCAAAATAATGTGCTACAAATTTCCCCTTTAAATTGTGCTGGCCCTCTCTCTGTCTTGTCAGGTCTTGCTGAATGCCTGACCATCGTATGTCTGGGTTCTCTGTCCCTGTCCACTTGTTTACCTAGCTCTGGCAGCAACGGTCCCTAGATTCTCGCCCTCCCCCACCGGCAGGGTCCACTTTTGAGATAGCACTTTAGCCTCACCGCAGCCCCCAGTTGTGTCCAGGCCTCCGCTTGGAATACAGGATCCCTTTGCTGAGCAAACACCTATGGTAGGGGACCGGAATAACACTCAGACGTTAAGACTGTCACTGCTCCGTGTCTGATCCTCTCCCCAAACCATGGGCCCTTTGCACTTCCCCTCCGATCAGCCCCAGCTCTCCCACTGCGCCCCACAGGGCAGGGTACGCAGTGCTGGGGACCACCTCGACGCCACTAAATATATTTTGGTACTATTTTTACTTTTAATATTTTTATACAAGTTTTTGAAGGAAAATGTGTGGCTTGATTGTTTCTCGTCACTCATGGACCTGTCAGTTGTGCCGATGATCATTCTCTGCAGTGGTGCCCACGTAGTTCAGGTTCCCGGCGTTGCCTGCACACCACACGCTGCCATGCTTTTCTGAAAGGCTGTGGATGCATTGTTCATTGGTGTGTCTGTGAAAGTAAAATAAAGTGAGGAAAGCACCCGGTGTGCTGAGATGCATACACTGGAGGGCATGGGGGTCTTGGAGACACCACCGGAAGCTGCCTGCTGAGTACTGTCCGGCACGGTCGGTCGGGTCACATGGCTCCCCTCAGTGCCCCCGAGCCCACCCAGCCCCACTAACCATCATGTTCAGGCTGTGGAACACGCAAAGCAGCTGACACTGGAGGGCGTGCCCTGTGCCCGGGCTGTTGCAGGGCTCTGTGCACTAATGCGCCTCACCCCGCGACTGCCGCCCTGTTGTGTGTTCAGCTGTGTGACAGCGAGCCCAACGTAAGCATGGGAGGAGACAGGAGAGGCGCGGGAAAGCAGAGTGTGGCGTATTCACGGGTCCCAGAGCAGGCAGGCAAGGCGCCAGTGTGGAGGAGGCACAGACAGGAGGGCGGGAAACATTGTGCCAGAGCCTTTGAGGGGTGTTTGAGGGAAAGGTACGGCAGGCAGGGTGAGAGGCTCGGGACTGCCCAGCCAGAATCATGATGGCCTCCGAGCTGAACAGGACTGCTTCCCACTCCCTAGGACCCAGCCCTGGGCTGCCTAAAGCTGAAGGAGCTGCGTTCTGGGTGCCTGGGCCAGGCAGTGGAGGTGTGGCCCTGATGGCTATTTGCACAAGACGTGGCTGGCCCGGCCCTTTGCCGTCTCTTAGAAACTGGCTAGAGCCGAAGGACTCTTTCCCCAGCTGAAAAGTTTTTCTAAGATGTCAAAGAATGCCATGCTGAAAATATCCATAGAGTATCAGGCCCAGCAGGAGACTGAAGAAATGCTTAGGAATCAGGTGAAAGTCACCATTGGTAAACAGAAACAGACAACTCCAGGCAATACGGCCAGGGTGCCTGTGCTCACCCCTCACCCCTGCTCACCTGTTTGTGATGCATGCTAGCCTTGTGGCTCAAGATGTTGGGGCGGAGCAGATGTGTGTGCAAGGCAGGTCACAGGTGCCCACTCCAGCAACCACACTTCCACATGTGCTTAAGAGGGCCTTCTCCAGGCGCGGCCTGAGAGTGGACGAAACAGCGCTCCATCAGCTGGAGTCCACAGACAGATGGCAGAGACGGACAGCATGGTCCTGTGAGATGTCATATGCATAGCTAGCGATGCCTGTTTTGGACATGCTCCACAAGCAAGAGGCAAGAGGGGCCAGAAATAGGGAGAAGCAGCCACTCATTTACTAAATAATGTCTGCCGGCAACGGCTGTCCTACACTCATGTGGTCACTGCCTTCATGGACCCTAAAGAGGAAACACAGGAAATCAGCAAATTATTGGAGAATGTGGGAAGAGAAAATGGAATAGGACACTTGCAAAGCAGTCTACCATGTGATAGTTACCTGACTGCGTCCATCAGGCAGAATGCACACAGGTCATGCACAGCAGGCTCCTCACCTGCAGAGCCAACAGCGAGAACAAAGCCTCTCTGGGTATCAGTCAGGGTTTATTAGAGAAACGGATATAATGCAAGATATACAATGTGTAAGAAATTACAAGATTGGCTCACGGTGCTCAACCACAAAATGGGCTGAGGGAGTGGGCAGAGGGTGTCTACACACTGGAAGCTGAAAGGTCCAGCCCAGGGGCTGGAGCTCACTGCAGTGTCCCGTGCAGTTCCCTATCAGGAGGCCGATGGGTCAGCACCAGAATACTACAGAATCTACAATGGAAGGCTGAAGAGTCCCAGGCAGAAGCCAGGAGACGGCGACCAAGTTAAAGGCAAACACCAGAGCTCTGAAGAAGCCGCAATTGGTCCCCCTTACTTGGCTTTTATTGTATGCAGGCTGCTCCCTGGGAGTGTGTGTGGCACTCACCATCTGCCAGCCGTCCTCTTGCACAGGCTGAGAATGTATAAACTGGGAACCCTGGCCTCTGCTGAGTCACTTAAGGTTCCAACCTTCTCACATTGACACAATGAACAGTATCCTGGAATGGTAACTGGCTTGTCCTCTGCACCAGGGATGTAGAGCTGCTGAATCCCTGAGTTAAGATTCTAGACTTCTCAAGTTGACACAGTGTATAGGCCTTAACTCCCTGCATGATGCATGGTGTGCTGGTCCTCCAAGGTGCAGGAAGACCTCTGTTGTAGTCAGGGGTTGTACACAGAGAACAATTCAGATCAGGACATGTTTATAATATTTTTATAATGGTCACCGGAAGTTAATACAGGAGAATGCGGGAAATCTATCCACAACACTAACAACATAGATTATTTAGTCAAGAGTCTAAACCCCATGACAATGTCCCACATGAGTCCAGATAAAAACCCAGAGCTCAGAACAACACCTCCACGAGTCCAACTGGAAGTCCAGAGCCCACAAGAAGGTCTCACACTAGTCTCTTTTACAGATTTGTGCCGGGAAGACCCAAGGGTCAGTGGTGGAAGCCAGAAAGTCTATGCCAGCAGGATGAAGGAGCTGTGCTAGTGGGATGAGGGTTCTACACTGGAGCCGAGAAGTCACACTCACAACAAAAAGCTGGGCTGTCCTGAAAGGAACCACAGCTGTCCTCAGCGACACGGAGGCCCCAAGCTCCTCTGACGACAAGCACAGTCGGGTACGCGCCAGGAAGCAGTGTGACGAGTTCATCCTGGAGACCAGGCAGCACATGTCTTCCCCTCCGGAGCCAGGAAGCAATGCTCGACGTGAAGACCAAAGCTCCTCCAGGAGAACCAACAGCTCAGACAGCAACTCGTAGGAGAACCCACAATGTCTCCTTCACACCTCAATCCCTCTCCACACCTCTCTTCTCCACCTATTTATCCTGGCAACCCTCCTCAGGTGGAGCATCTTCTCTCAATGCATGCTGATGTAATCCAGCTGGCGTTAAGTAGACCACTAGTTATCAAACCGTAACAAACTCCAAGGGAGTCGAGTCTTATCTGATGTGCAGGTCCCTGTGTTCGCCAAGCCCTCTCTCGCCCCTCCTTGTCCTTTCCCCAAATACCAGGCCACATCAGAAGATCCCCCTGGGATGCTGGTGTATGCTCGCTCCCTAGGGCCGTGCAGTGTTCGTCATGCCAGTCTGCGTGTAAACCACACACATAACAACGTTCTTGAGAATGCAGCCTGCACACTTGATTGAGAACAGTATTGCTTCAGGGACTACGTGTGTCCTCCACACTAATCTGCATGTAATATGCTCAGAAAAAAGCACTGTGTTGACACTGTTTTAAAGATATGCCCAGCGCAGGAACCAAGGTGGCCTTGGGTGCTTGTCAGGCTGCCTCGGAGCGCTGCACTGTGACCTGGCAGTGTTGCAGCATCTCACTCACAGTGGGAGAGAGTTCATAGTTATGACAGCCTGCAAGGCTGCAGGTAACATTCGCATCCCCTCCGGCGATAGTGAGTTTTAGGTGTCACTTGGCTTGGACATCATGGTACCCGCTTAGTTAATCAGACACCGGTGCTGCTGTGAAGGTATTTTGTAGATGTGGTGCAACTAGTTGACTTTACGCAGAGGAGCTCATGCCCGTTGATATGGTGGGCCTCATTCAATCAGTGGAAGGCCTCCTTTCCCAGAGAAGTGGAGATTCTGCCTCAAGATGATAGCATCCTTCCTGCCCAAGTGTCCAGCCTGCTGCCTGCTCCCTGGACTTCAGACTGGCCAGCCTCTGCAGACACATAAGCCAATCCCTCGGAGCAGTGCAGGCAGACCTATAGCATGCATGCTTTTAAGACAAAAGACGTTAATATAGAGCTCCAAATTAAGCCTCAGGATTCAGGTTTAGTTGCAGTGTTGGCACTCTGCGATAAATCAGTGGGTTTGGGGTTACAATTTAGGGTTGCAGTCTAGGTGCTCGTCCCTGAAAGGTTTGCTGTCACTGCCCCGAGACACCCCCTTACCATCATGTGTGTGCACCGCTGAGGCTGAACGTGCTCCCCAAAGTCCCGTGCTGGAAACTTGAGCCCCTGTGCAGCAGTGCTGAGAGTGAGGCCTTCAAGGGGGACTGGGTCAGAAGCGCTTTTTCCTCCTGATAAGTTGGTGCCAGTACCGCCAGAGTGGGCCCCACACACAGCAGAGAAAGGGTGCCTTAGAAAGGGTGTGTCCAGCTGAGTGTGCCATCTTCTTCCGCATGGAACAACGCAGCAACAGCAGCCTTGCCCACACAGGCCCTTCAGCCTGGACTCGCACCTCTGCAGCTGTGAGGAGGAACCTGTCCTTGTCTGTCGTCTAGCCCATGGCATGAGTCACAGCGTGCAGCCCGGCTGAGGCCAGGGCGGGGAGACACACAGGTGTGCAGACCCTCGGCTCTGCGGCTCGAGAGCCCCTGCTGGGGGAGCTCAGCCAAGTTCTCACGTGGTTCCCTTCCTCCAGTCTCCTCTGCCACATCCTCAGCCATGCGAGGCCCAGCCTGCCCTGGGCCTCTGCCTTCTGAGCACCTCAGGGGTCTCTTTCACACAGATAGCCCTGGGATTGCTGCCACCAGCGCTGGACCCTCCATGCAGCACATCCTCCTGGCTGCCCCATTCTGCCAAACCAGCTCTGTGCTCTTTTCCACAGCACCTGTCACCTAGCATGCTCCATGCCGATATCTTGTGTGCTGCTTACCATCTTTGCCGTGGGTCAGACGTAAGTCCCATGAAGGGGACAATCCTTGCCCATCTTGTCCACAGGCATCCCAGGTACATAGCCCGGAGTAAGCACCCAAGGAGGAGGGCTGGGGCTATGGGATCTGCTCACAGCGCGTAGAGTGATTTCTGCATAGAGTGGCTACACGGGAAGACGCTGGGAGCGGCGACAGCTCGTGCCTTCCCAGAGCAGCAGCTACAGACAGAGGCTCACTTCCCAACAGCCCCCGAGTCAAATCCAACCTGCAGTGCAGCGGGGTTTGAGGTGGGCCTTTTGGAGTTGACTTGGTCGTGACAGTGGATGCCTCAGATCACTGCCCTTGTTAAAGAGACCTCAGAAAGCTCCCTGGGCTTTTCTGCCAGGGGAGGACACTGGAGAGGACATCACCTATGAACAGGAAGAGCGCCCTGCAGACCCGCTGACTGCCGATGTCCTGGGCGTGGACTTTCCCGCTCTGTAACTGAGAAGTAAATGCTTTTATAAGCTCCCCATCTATGATACTGTGCTGCAGCAGCCTGGACAGGTGAAGCGACCAGCACTAATGATCCAAATCCAGGCTGTGCAGCTCACCGCAGAGCTGGGCTTGGAACACGCCAGGTGCTGGCTCCACCCCAGCTCCAAGACCCAGTCCTCTCTCTGGTGCCTCCGTGTCCTGTCTGCCTGTCCATCCCACCCTTCTCGTCCCTGCCCTCCACGGCCGGGCTTCTCTTGGTTCCTGCCCTTGGCATTTCTTTACCCTTTTCCAGGAAGTCATCTTTAAAAGATGAAAAAAAAAATTATCTTTGAATCTTGCAGAGCTGCCCATAACAGTTGTCGGATTCTGCTTCCTTCTGCCAGCACTAGAGTGCCTTCTCCTTCACAGATCTGAGATGAAAACTATTTACACTTTGGAATTTTCCACATTTAAGGAAAGGTTTCCCTATGAATGACTTCTGTTTCATTTTTTAAGACACGGTCTCACTGTGTAGTTCAGGCTGGCCTTGAATTCACAGTGATCCTCCTGCTTCAGCCTCCTGAGGGCTAGGGTTACAGGGGTGCACTACCATGCCCAAGCAAGGTACCCATATAATAAAGAGTATTTATTATTTATGAAGCTGTTTTATTCAAAATAACGACGGTGGATATTTTTGGAATTGTGTATTCTGTTCATTTTAGAAATCCCTAAGACTGAAAAATACAAAAAGAGGTAACAGAAAACCACAAAGCTCTGGGGAGAAGTGACGTTTATTTAGTAAGAATTCAGAGCCTAAAAGAGGAGGCAATGTGTGTAATGGAGTACGGGGAATGGAGATGTGACAACGTGCCATCGATGTGTCAAAAATTCACACTGGTGATAAAGCGTAAGAATATAACAGGGAAAAGCCCTCTTAGGCGGAGGTCTCAGCACCTTGGAGACCACATGGAAAGTGCAGCAGCCAGGCGCTAAGGTGTCATCCCACTCTGCTTTGGAGAACTCATGCCCGAGGGAAAGCCGTCCTGTACTAAACGGTAGTGGAGCCCTGCTCCTGAGTGCACTCTTGCTGAACTGCGTAGTTCTCACCAGACAGAAATAATGCCAGATGACGAACAACGTGAGAAAGCCTTCAGGTAGGGCCCAACTCTTAGCCAGCAGAAGAGATCCCATCCTAGGAGAACGCACAGAAAAAGCACAGTCCTTCCTCCAGGACTTCAGCACTGGACTGGACATCCGGGCACTAACACTGTGTAGCCAAAAACCAGGGAACCCTGAGGGAGCTGTCAACCTGTCACTAAACGTCGGAGCATGATCAAAGGGAGTGACTTCATGTACACATGGACTACTTGGACTACATACTAAGAAAACAGCAAATGGGAAAACTCATTTGGCGATCTGAGCTTGCTGACTCTCCAAGTGTTCACGTAGGAAGAAACCCCACAAAAGTGCTGATACGCATGTCAGAAGACTCCCACGGAAGAGAAGCCCCACAGCACCATGACTTTTGAAAAGCAGTCAGCAATAAATGAGATTCACAGCTCCCACTGGGCAGCGAGGGGTGAATCTGCACCCCAGCAACGTCCTTCTCCAGAAAGCAGCCCACAGTCAGGGCTCGGGGCGTCAGAGGGTCTTCAGCTTGCACGTAGTGTGGGTCTCCTTTGTGCTTTGTCATGGACATTAGCTACCAGAGAGTTCTGGATCATAAAACAGCCAGCTCAGCACGGGTAAATTCCATATCCATGAAAACAAAATTCCAACACTGAGTAGGTTTTTGTTAGAAAGATGACTGAGAAATGAACACTCAGGCATCTACACCCCAAGCATTTTCCATTGCTCAGAAAAACGTCCAGAAAGGAGAGTTGTTAGGTCCACCCTAAATTATACACTTGAGACCGGTCTTCACCATGGACACAAAAAGCTGTCCCTGGTCCCACTGTGGAGCTCTGGAACAGCCTCAGCCGACGGTGTCTGCCCCACAGAGGCCAGTGGCCTCCCCTCAGCAGAGTGCACTTGGATCCGCTGGTTGGGGGAAGGGGTTAAGGGAGACGCTGGGGCCGAGGGCCACTCTTCCTGGAAGTGGTGACCTCACACAGGGACCCAAATTCCCCTGCAGTGGGGTGCAGGCCTTCTCCTTCAGAGCTCTCCTACCACCAGCCCCAAGGCGCATCAGACACAAGGGGCAGTGGCTCTCAAGGGCCAGTGCTGCCCTTTTGGCCTCCTCTGGAGCAGCCTCACTGGGAGGAAGCATGGCCCCCGGGGCACAAATGTGGAGCCCAAGAACCCCAGCGGTATGGATGGGATCAGGCGAGGCTGTGCATTCATCGTGTCCGGCGTGGACCCCTGTTCCTCGCACTCCCAGAGGCCAGAACTACGAGGTGGTCAGAGGGGCAGGGAGGAGGGAGAGGGGCAGCCCATTGTGGTTACTTGGGGTCCTCTTTCTCCTCCCCTTTTGGGGGCGCAGCCGCCGTGGTTGTGGCCTTGAGGCTCCGCTTGCGCTTCTGCACGTTCTGCTCAGGGTGGAACAGGATGACGTAGGTCTTGGGCACGTAGAGCATGCCGAGGGATACCGAGGCGCTCAGGCTCAAGGACACGGTCAGCGTGGTTGTCTGGATGTAGATCTGCGCCAGAGGAGGGGAGTGCTCAGGCCCACGGGAATGGGCCGGAGGCAGCAGCCGGCTGCTGATCCATCCGGGTAGCAAGGGGTGAGTGGCAGGAGGGACCCCACTAAGAAGGAAAGGAGAGCTGGGGAAAGCGGCCCCCGCACCCACACGGCTGCAGCACATCATGAAGGAACGAATGCTTTCAAACACAGGACAAATGCAGGAAGGAAAGTTCGGAGGCACTGGGGAAAGAGCTCACGAGCAAACGAAAGGCACATACGGGAGGATGCACGTGGGTTCTGCTGTGTTCATGCAGAAGTGACCACATGCACGATCAAGCAAATGGCTCTGTCAATCCACCAGTTAACTGGGATACAAATGGGGAAAACTGAACCGAGACAAATCAGGAGCTGAGTGTGGCGGTACATGTCTGTCGTCCCCCAAGTCTGGGAGGCTGAGGCAGGAAGATCCCAAGTCTGAGCCCAGTCTAGACAACTTAGTGACTTAGCCAGTTCATGTCTCAAAAGAAGGCTGGGGATACAGCTCAGGTGAAAGCCCTGGGCTCAACCCCCAGTACTGCCCCAAAGTCAAAGCAACAGGAAGGCCAGGGCAACCCTCTCGGGACCCCACGGCCCTCGGGAGCCGTTCCTGAGAAGTCCCTGTTCCCCGTTCCTATCCTCCATTTACTCTTTCCTGTTCCCCATCCCCACTGCTTGTCCCCCTTCCTGCATGAACACAGGAGGAGCTGAGAGGCCGGGTGGGCAGCAGAGACCCCAGGGGAGCACGGGTGTGGCTTCCATGACACACACGGATCTGCCACTGTGCAGTCATCTGATGTCGCAGCCTCCACATGGCTCAGCTGGTTCTGCTGAGCCCTTGGGTGACAAGAAGGAAGCACAGGGGACAGGCCAGGGACGGGGACCCCAGGTACCTTTTCGGCAGACTGGGCGGTGCCAAAGAAGATGGGCACGAAGGCCAGCCAGATGATGCAGGTGGTGTACATGGTGAAGCCGATGGGCTTGGCCTCATTGAAGGTCTCGGGGACCCCTCGGGCCTTGACCGCATACACCGTACAGGTGACCATGAGCAGCAGGCTGTAGCCCAGGCAGCCGATAAGGGACAGATCCGACATGTCACACTTGAGCACACCCCTGGCCTGCTCCGGGTCCACCGTGCGCTGCTCCTCGTAGTCGATCACACTGTGTGGGGGCTGGGCCCCCAGCCAGGCTATCACACCCACCACCTGCAGGAGCCAGGCAGGTCAGAGGCACCCAAGGCCAGGGACCAAGATCCCAGCCCTGTCCCAGGTCCTGGAGGTGGGGATGCCTGGAGCAGGGGTTGGAACCCAGGGTCTGCCACATGTCAGGGAAGCTTTGTACCACTGAGCTGCATTTCCAGCCTTTTTCACTGAGACAGGATCCCACTACGTTGCCTGGGCTGGCCTCTAACTTGCCATCCTCCTGCCTCAGCCTCCCTGCCCGCTGGGATTACAGGCATGCACCTCCACATCAGACTACCACTTCTCTGACTTTTAAAACTGAGGGCAGACCTCAGCACATGCGCTGCCCCATCCCAGCCCTGGAGGTGGCACCCGCCCATCCTGGGACAGCCAGGGCCCCACCTGCAGGGAGGTGAGACTGAAGGTGATGACCAGCTGCGACGTGGGGCTGATGAAGGGCGGTGGGGTGACGGAGCGCTTGCCCTGCTCGAAGATGCGGTAGATGCGGTTGGTCTTGGTGAGCAGGGCGGAGTAGCTGAGGGTAGTGCCCAGGCCAAGGAAGAGCCTGCGGGCTGCGCAGACAGCCGCCCCGGGCTCCGCCACCATAAGGAAGGTGATGGCGTAGATGAGGAAGATGCCGGTCAGCAGCACGTAGCTGAGCTCTCGGCCCGAGGCGCGCACGATGGGGGTGTCGTTGTGTCGCACGAAGGTGCCCACCACTGTGGTGGTGGCCATGATGCCCAGCACGGCCAGCAGCAGGGGCAAGGCGGCCCAGGGGGAGGCCCAGGTGAGGCGCACCACGGGCGTGGGGCGGCAGCCCGTGTGGTTGGGCATGGGCCTCATGTCCCCGGGACAGGACTCACACGTGAACTCGTCCACTTGGAAGCGGTAGCCGTCGCAGGCCTCGCAATGCCAGCAGCAGGGCACGCCCTTCACCATCTTCTTCCGCTCTCCTGGCCCGCAGGGGAGGCTGCACAGCGATGTGGGGACCTCGCGCTGGCCCCCGGACCACAGCAAGGCTTCCACCTGCGGCAGAGGACACACAGGCCGGTGCCCCCTGCCGCCAGAAATCAGGCCCTGCCAGTGACACTCAGGTGCGGGCTGCGCCACTTACGTCCAGCCTGAGGGCCTCTGCCCACTGGCCAACCACCTGGTACCCGCCGCTGTGGGCGCTGCCGTTGGTCGCTTGGTACTGGAAGATGTCATAACGCCCAGGTGCATCTCCATTCTCGTTGAACATCACTGGGGTCCCCGCGCTGCCTGCAGGGGGTGCCTGCCATTCTCACCTGGCTTTCCAGCCTCCCAGGAGGCCACCAGGCCCAACCAGGACAAGGCGGCCTTAGACCAGGTCATGAGAAGACACCCAGTGTTGCAAACGCATTTGGTGCAAATGCAAATCAAAACCACTCGAGAGGCCATCTCACACCCAGAGAGGTCACTGGCCGGCCCAGGGGTGTGCAGTGATGTCGGGAAAGTAAATGATGAGCCACTGAGGGGCACCTCAAAAATTAAAAAGGAAGCCGCCCAATGCACCAGCAGTGCCACCCCTGTGAGTAGGCCCAAAGGAACGGGAAGGGGACGCGAAGAGACATTTGACCTCCATGTTCAGAGCCGCATGGTTCACCCAGGGTGCAAGGCCTCAGGCACTGGTGTCTGTCCACAGAGGAAAGGGGGACAGACGTGGTCCAGAGTGCAGGGAACATACTCATCCTTAGAGGAAGAGAAATTCTGACCCATTTCACATGGAGCCTTCAGAACAAACTGCAAAGGCCAGGCACATAGGTGAGGTGCTAGGAGCGCCAGGAGGGGGAAATTCTAGGTGTGGGTGGGGCTGGAAACTCTCTAGGGACAGAGACTTGACAGGTGCAGACCTGACGCACAGGCCCTGGTCTGCCGCAGGCCACACCAAGCCGCCCGGAAAGCCCACCCAGGCTCTCCCTCACCGTTGAAGCGGACCGCCCGGATGTACTGCAGCAGGGTCCGCCCGTCCGTGGGCTCCATCGCTGGGCACAGTCCCAAGTGCCCGGGGCACAGTGCCTGGTGCATGCTGTGCAGCGCATGCGCGATGGCGTACACGGCGTCGATTACAAACTGCACCTTCCCTTCCTGCTCGTAGGCCGAGTCTTGGCCGATGCGTTCCTCGCCTGTCCTAGGGACCCGCGGAGGAAGTGTTCCTGTCCCCGGGAGCCACGCCCGGCCTGACCCTCCTCCTCCCGCGCCTGCCTCCCTGTCCTGGACAGCCCTCACCTGTGCACTTGCGGACGGAATCGTCAGCCTGGTTGCCCGAGCTGGTCAGTTTGCAGTTAAAATTCTCTTCCCAGAACTCGGCGAACCAGATGTTTCTGCGGTTGTTCTCCAGGGAGCGCGTCATGAAGTACTGGTCAAACCCTAGGAGGAAAATGAGGGAGCGTGGCCACCGCCTGGGCCAGTCCCTGTGCCACCTGCTCACTCTGCATCGGTCAGTGGCTGTGAATTCAAAGCTGGGAGCTTCAGGGTGGAATCTGCATCCTGACACAAGCTCAGCCCTGCCACCTGAAGGACTTTGGATCTCTGCCGCTGTAAACATGGAATGGGTGGAGCCGCAGCATCCATCCTGTGAACATGAGGCCATAGGGTACAGCAACCACAGAGCATGGGGGGGACAGGAGGGCCAATAGCGTCCCCAGCTCGCTGCCCTCTCCCTGGAGTCACCTGCTTTCAGGCAGGTCTTTATTCCTAAAGCCACCCTTGGTCCAGTTCACTCCCTGTAACTGGAGGAGCTGAAGGACAGGGTGCAGGGCATCTGCCACCGGGAAGCGTGTTGAGCCCCAAGAAGGGCCTCTCCCTTGCCAGGCCCGGCCTTACAACCCTGGGCAGATCAAGACGTCTGCAGTTCAGGTCTTTGGGAAACGAGCAACCCCAATGGGAAGCTGGCTCTTCCAGACGGTCACAGTGAGAAGGGGGCCAGGGCCAAGGCAGACTGCTTACCGTCCCCAGCAGGGCAGCATCTGCCATACCTGTCCTCCTCTTCACTTCAGAGTGGCTTTCATAAAACCAAAGCCAAACCCTGCCTGTGCACACTTCCCCTTCCTGACCGCTTGTTCAAGCCCTGCCTGGAGGGGCCAGTCACTGGCCGGGATCCAGGAGGACTCAGTTTATGGCATCAGCTGCACAGATGTGGAAAATGGGCATCCCCAGCAGGGTCCACCGGGAGGACCCAGGAGGGGACGGCACAGCCCCGGACTCACCATCAATGGAGGCCCTTTTGGGCAGGATGGTGATGGCCCCCACAGCCACATCCTCCAGGCTTAGGATAGGCGAGATCTTGGACCCCCAGCTGTCCGAGCCGACCCATAGGAAGTGGCCAGTCAGGTTGGCCTGGCGTGTGGCCTCTAGGACCCTCCTAGTGGGAGCAAGCAGCGGGTACTAAGCGGGGACCCGGGTCCCCTCCATCTTACCCCTGGGTAGTTCCCATGCTCTCCCCACCCACCATCTCCACATGGCACAGTAGTGCCCTGTTTTTTAGAAAAGGGTATAGGGTGTTCAGGACTTATTCCCTGGGCTCCCCTGACCCCAAGCCACCCACACACACACTGTCCTTGTGCATGACAGGCTCCCACCATGCACTGGGAGCTTGGTCTCCAGTACGGCTGTGCCGGGAGGCAGCTGGACATGAAGGGGTGGCCTCCTGAGGGGTGGCTGAGACCTCAGGGGCTTAAGTGGTTCTCCAGGGACCCTGATCAGTGCCACTCAAATGAGTTCCTGACCCACCGTGCAATTGTGCCCCTCCTCACTCCAGCCATGACACCATCTGCCAAATGGTGGTACATCCTGGGGACTCCACCCCAGCTGGGGCCATTCTGGGCTCTCAGCCTCCAAAATGTGAGCTAGACAAACTTTTGTTTTATAAATCACCTGGCCTCTGGTATTTTGTTACAGTAACCAAAAAAGGATGGATATGGACAGTCCATGGGGGAAACAGGACAATCAGAAGTCACAGCAACTCCTAGGCTGGCGGCAAAGCCACCAGGGGGCTCAGGCCTGGGTCCAAGGCCCCCTGCCCTCTGTACTGTCCCCACCCCAGCCATTCCTGGCAGCTCACTTCCTGCACACAGGTGACCTACAGGGCCCCTCTCTCACCACGGTGATAAAAGGGACACGTGTCTCCAGGGCAAGCCTCGGACACCTCTTCTCAGACCAGACCTGGATCCCCTCTGTGATGACTACACAAATATGGCAGCCATGTGTGGTGAGGTGGGGAGCCTGCCGCCAGGACAGCATGCAGCCCACCTGATGTCGTCCTCGTTGGCGAAGATGATGATGCCTCGTGCGTTGGGCGTCTCCATGAGCCTCTTGATCACTTTGTTGAACTCGCCTGGCCTTGGTTCCCGAGGAATCTTGATGGACTGAGCGATGCAGACCCCACCTGGTGTTGGGAGACCTCACAGTCGGCTCCTGCCCCTTGGGCCTGGCTGCCCCCTCCAGTGACTCTGCTGCATCGTGGGCAGCACAGGGCCTGGTGGAGCTGCGCAGGGGTGAAATCCTCCCTGGGCCCCACCTGACAGGTGCAGGGCAAGCACTGAGCCTTCCTGAGGAAGGGCTGGGGCTGCGGGAGTGCACCCAGGCTAATGCAGCCCTGCGCCCACTGGGCCGCCGGGTCCCCGTCCCTCATGCCACCCCACAGCCCAGCTCATGTCCCCTCCTCAGCTCACCAGCCTCACGGGAGATCTGCACGAAGGCCTCCACCCCACTCTCGCCGTAGTTGCCCTCGGAAGCCAGCGTGGACACGTAGTTCCACCCCAGTGCCCGCACGATGTCCACCATCGCCTGGGCCTGGTAGGAGTCGGGCGGCACCACTCGGGAGAAAAAGTCATAGCGAGTGGAGTCGCTGAGCTCTGGGGCGGTGGAGGCGTAGCTGATCTGGGGGATCTGGGGCAGAAGGACAGCCGGGAGTGGTTGGGGTTAGGGCAATGGGGACTCGGGACACAGAGACCCCGGGGAGGGTGCTGGGGCAGGTGGGGACAGCTGCGCATGGAAAACTGGGCTGGGAGGGGCAGCTGCAGCCTCACAGGGAGCCCAGAGGGTGGGGAAGGGCTGCTGCTCGTGTGTGGACCTGGCGGCCTATGGAAGGCACGAAGGTCCGATGTCAGAGCAGGGCAACCTAACACTGCTGCCCAGCCGTGTCCTGAACAGAGGCACAGGAGACCAGGGCAGTGGTGTCACTAGCCTGCAGCCGACCTAAGTGTGGGCACACTGATGGCCCCAGGCATGCTCTGCCTCTTCACACCAAGGGCTGCCCCAGGCCTCAGAGCTGCAGGGGGAGCTGGGCTCAGTGAGGCACCACACTAATGGAGGGGCCTATGAATCGGGGTTCATCTGTGTACAGCAGCACGGTGCGCGATGAGATTAGAAAGCAGAGCCCATCAAGGCGCTGAGTGGATGGAGGGCTGAGGCCGGGGCACATGGCTGGGAGCGGGGAGGAGGGGGCGTATAAACCAAGAGCACATCACAGGCAGAGGCTCCAAGCAGAGCAGAGGGAGCGGGTGGAAGCGGAGGCAGGGCGGGGTCAGCACTGCATGTACGCGCCGTGGATTCCCCCAAATGAGAGTGCGCACTGCAGCCCTGAACTGCAGACACACACCGGGCTCCAGCAAAAGAAGAAAGCAGACGCTCGGGCGGGAAGAGGGCGTGACCAGAAGCCGCGAGTGTGTCCTCCACCACGGAGAGACTCAGTGGGCCAGGCGGGGGAGGAGGGGATTCGGGGGTAAGAAAAGGACAGGGAGAGAGATGAAGAAAGAGGGAAAATCGGGGAAACGGGCAGAGAAAGGGCCGGCGATGGTCCAGCCCCTTACCGCCATACAGAGTTTAATTTCCCAACAGCCCCGCGCACCTCGGGGAAGGCGAGGTGGCCGAGCTGAAGCTCCAAAGCTCCAAACCTTCACCTGCTCCCTCAGGGCGGGAGCTGCAGCAGCCCTCGGGAGCCCAGCAGGCCCAGAGTCCCCTGCACTTCTTTAGAGGCCCTTAGGAGCCGTTTAAAAGTAGGTATTTTCAGATCGAATTTAAAAGGTCAAAGGAAGGAAAGGACCCCTGGACCTATTCGTCCCATCCTCCAGGGTAGCTGGGGACAAGTCCCAGGTTCCGCTCTGGAAAACAGGTCCTGGGTTCTGGGCCAGCTCAAAGCTCCTCATCACCCCGAGGGCCCGGACGGTGGTGCAGGATGTGCACGGCCCGAGGGCTCCAGCGAGTAGGGGCTGCAGCCCAAGCCTCCCTCCTCCGTGTGCGCCAGAGCGGCCCAGCGAGCTGGACCCTTCCAGAAAGAGCAGAGCGGGAAAGACGCCCCGATCCGGGGCGAGGAGGGGCCCGCGGGGCGCCTCACCGCGAACAGGCGCAGGACGTTGGCCACCATGATGGACACGGAGCTGGCCGAGGCGCCCACCACGGCCACCACGCGCTCGGGGGGCGCGGCGCGCAGCGGAGGGGCGCCCCCGGGGCAGCGCACCGCGTCGTGGCCGTCGCCGCGGCCCTGGATCAGCGCCTGCACGAAGCTCAGCGCCTGCTCCAGCGCATAGGTGTCCCGCGAGCAGGTGTCCAGCAGCCGCGCGCCCAGGCGCACGCCGGGCAGCAGCGCGGGGTCGGCGTTCACGCGGTCCAGCGCGTACAGCATGGCCTCGAGCCGGTGCACGCCCTGCTCCTTCTTGAGCGGCCCGCACGCCCGGCCCGCCGCGCCCCGCGCGTGCACCGGGAACAGCCCGCCCAGCGTGAGGCCGCCCGCCAGGCGCACCGAGCCGGCGCCCGCGCCCCAGCGCGCCAGCCCGGCCACCAGCGCCAGCAGCAGCCGCGCCCGCGCCGAGGCCAGCGCCGTCAGCCTGGGCGGCGGCATCGGCAGCGCAGGGCCGGGCGCGTCCTCCAGGGGGTCCTCCGGGTCCTGCACGGGAGGCGAGGCGCGCGGTGAAGCCCGAGCCTCCGCCCCGTCCCGCCGCTCCCCTGCCTGCAGCCCTCGCTCTGGTCAGTCCGGTCTGCGGCTCCACCGCCTCCCGGCGACCTGCACGGGCCGTGCGTGTCGGGCCCGATCTACGAGCCGCGGGCTGAGCCCGGGATTTAAGGGCTGGGGCGGGGCGGGGCGCCTCCGGCCCCCCAGCCCCTCCTGACTCGCGGTCGCAGCCGGCTCCCCTCTCCTCTGCCCGCCCTGGCACGTTTCCTGCGCCGGTTCCAGCTCTCTGGCCTTTGACTGTGTCCCGTGCAGACCCTGTTTCTGCCGCCTTCTCTCTGCCGCTGGCTACTGTGACTCTTATTCCTCTGCCCCGGCTGGCCGGCTTCTTTCTGGTTTTGTCCCTCCCGGTCTCTGGCTCTCCTTGCGTCTCTCTTCTTCGCCCCGCCCCCCTCCCTCTCCTTCTCTCCCTGTCTTTCCAGCCTCTGGACTTCAGCTGCCTTCCAGTCAGTTGGGTCTCTGCAGCCTGCCTCTGACCACAGCTTGCAGCAAGCCCTTGAGTGAGGGGACAAGGCAGAGGCTGAGTGACCAGCGAGTGCAGTCAGAGCAAGGCCAGGCAGAGCAGACCCTCAGCCCTGGCTGGCACAAACAGCCCCGCCCGACACAGGCTTCTGGTCAGCTCCATTTTTGCAGATGAGGGAAGTGGAGAGCTTGAAGAGTGACTCCACCTGCCCCATATTGCACTGCCACAAGTGGCACAGAGCTGCCAGCCCACACTGCCCTAGTGGAAGCCGGAGATGCCAGCTTTTGGGGCTTCTGGTCTCTGGCATCTGGTGACAGTCCCTAACACACTGTCCCCAGTCCACCTATGAGGCTCCCTGGCTCTGAGTCTGCATCCTGGGGCCAAGGCCCAAGTCCCCGTCAGAAGTCCCTTGCCCTCCACTCTTGCCTGGGACTGACTCTGCTCTCTGATGCCAGGGAGCGGAGGGCATCTCGGGGACAGGTGGTGACTTCTAGCAGCAGAGATTAGCCAGCTGCGGAACGAAGGTCTGAGCCGGCTTGGGCTCCATTAACGGGGTGGATTAGGGAGGCTGAGAGGATTGGGCCCACCTGACAGAGGAGGCGAGTGGGAAACATGCCACCCCTCTCTTCCCCCAGCACCGCAGGTCCTAGGAGAGCACTGGGCCAGGAGTCAGGACAGGGCGGGAAGGGGGATGCCGAGGTGCTGTGAGACCAAGTGCAGCATTGCAGGGGCCTGCAGTGGGGCTCACACAGCAGACACCCCTCTGTGCTCAGGAGGGTGGGCACCAATGTACTCCATCACTGGCCTCGGCTACTGGCTACCGAAAGACAGGCACACCCCTAGAGAGCAGAGTCAGAGTGAGAAGGCAGGAGCCTTCACAGCGCCCCAGGGGAGGGAGCTGGGGCAGGAGAGGAGGAAGCCGGTGGGTTCCAGGCCTGAGAAAGCCTGGGGTCCCCGAGAAGGAACCGAAGGCCTCACGCTGTGATGACCACGGTCAGGGCTGAGAGGGTGAGGCAGGGCAGAAACCAGGAGCTCAGGTGCAGGCATGGAGCAGCTGAGCACATTCTAGAGCTCAGGGCTTGCTCAAGTCCAGATCAGGTTCACAAGTCTGGAACTGAGGGAAGCGGCATCAGCAGCGGCCTGGGATGCCAAGCCACAGGATGGACAGAAGGTGAGGATGCCCCCCCCAAGAACCCAGACGTGATGTGTTGGGCAGAGCAGAGGAGGAAGCTGGAAGGGGCGGCCCAGGGGGAGGTGAGGCCTGAAGAAGGCAGCACAGAGGCCAGGGGGCAAGGACTGAGGGAGACTTGGTAATGACCTGGACCCCGCACAGGCACAGAGTCACTGTTGCCAGAGCCACGGAGACAAACAGCAAGGCGACTCCCTGGGGCCACTCAGCGTAGACCACCTGTGGTCACAAAAGCTCCGCAGCCCTGCCTCTCCACCTCTGCTGTCAGCTCCAGATACTTCCTCAGAGAAGCATAAATAAAGTGCAAGACCCAGGGCTGTGGTCCTCCATGTGTTTATACCCTCGTAATTCCTGAGTTTGGATCTCACACACACACAGCACTGACCCCACGGTACTACACAGTTCACTTAAAAACCATATATTCCCAGGCTCATTGGCTGGTCAGTTTGGAGCATCCAAACCCTGGGGGCACTACAGCCCCCTTCCCTGTGGTGGGAACCAGAGAATCTAGCATGGTCCCTGTACCTGAGGACACCTGCCTGATCCTTTCCTGAGGGTCTCACGTGGACAGTCGAGGAGCACGTGTGTGTATAAGGAAGCCGCTCCACATCCCCACTGCCCTGCCAGCTGCCCTCCTCGGCACCTTCCACCCCGGGAGGGAGACTCTGCAGATCTGGGGGGCCTTGGACCCCACTGTGGCAGCGGTGCACCAAGACCCAGCGTCCTCTACCTCCGGTTCCCCCAGAGACCCCTCCGGGGACTGACCAGAGTTCAAATGCTCTGTGGATGCAAGAATTCGATTTTTGGGGCTGGGGATTTAGCTCAGCGGCATAAGCGCCTGCCTTGGAAGCAAGCAGTCGTGAGTTCGATCCCTGGTACCGATAAAAACGAAAAAGACAAAAAAAAAAAAAAAAAAAATTAAAGAATTGGCTTTTTGAGCTACAAAGCACCAGATGGCGCTGTGGCCACCAGGTTGCTCAGTGGCTACAAGAGGAGCCGGAGCCAAGAATGAGGAGCTGTGCAGTGATGAAGCCAAGCGTGAGCTTTAGGTGAGGGCAGCAGCCTGTGCGCTGACCTAAGCAGATAAGCAAGCAGCACTCCGGTTCATCTAACCAAAGCTTCGCTGTCCCGTTCCGCTCCACCCACTCCTGTTTCTGAGGATACAAGTTCTGTGCAAGAGATAAATTCTAGGGCATGTCGGGAGGAGAGTACATTAGGGTTAGAACTGCAAGGATTACCAACACAGAGAAGGCTCAGAGCCTGGAGGAAAGGTAGCAAGACCCCAGCCCTGCCCTCCCCTGAACTGCGCCTGGATGACCAGGGACTGCCCAGCCCACCCCACCCCAGCAGAGGGACAGCCCCTGGGGACACCAGATCACGCGCCCCAGGGCCTGGCAGATTCTGGAACAGTGGAGTTCAGGCAGGAGCACAGGATTTTTGCAAGATGTTTAGGATGAGATTTAAAAGATCTGCCCAGAAAGAGACTCCCAGTGACTCTGAGCTGGTGTCTGAGTGTGTGGGTTGTAGGTCGTCTGGGCCGCCCTAACGAAACACGGTGATCGGGCGCTGAGAGAACAGAAATCTGTCCTCTGGGTTCTAGAAGTCTCAGGCGGCTGCGGGCTGAGGGACCGGGTGCAGCCCTGCCTCCCGGCGCTCCTCAGTGTGTGCACGTGGAGCTCTTGCTTCCTCTTCTTAGAGAGCCACCTGCCCGGGATGAGGGCCCCACACCTGTGACCTCACTTAACCTTGACTGCCTCCTGGAAGCAGGAATAACTGGTGACAGGGTTATGGTGTCACATGGCAGGCAGTGTGACCTCGGCTTGTCCAATCGAGGTAAACTTCAAGTTGCTAAAAGACCCCCAAATAGCTCTTCATATTCCAATCTGGAATCTAGCGGAGAATCCTGCATTGCGTTTGGTTGCTATTTGGTCTGTTTTGCCCAGAGCTTGGGCCAGGAGTGGTTGGTGTGTGAAGAACAGGCAGAGAAGCAGGGTTTGTTGCTACACACACACACACACACACACACACACACACACACACACACACAGAGAGAGAGAGAGAGACAGTCACAAAGCACTACAGCCATTGAAACCCAAAATCCTGAGGGCTCATGGTAGGCCAGGCCAGCTTAGAGGGATATGACACATGGAAATCTATCAAAGTGGTTAATCAGAGTGCATATTAAAATATGTGCCTAAGCTGAACATAATGACCTGGACCTGTATCCCAGCCGGGAGGGAGGCTGAGGCTGGAGGATCCTGAATTTGAAGAGAGGTTGGCAACACAGTGAAATCCTGTCTCAAAGAAAGGTGTCTGTTTGTTCCTAAATAATGCATGGCCAGTTCTGATGGTTTGGATGTTATATAAATGGAGAGAGGTTATTAGCAAAAGGAAACCCTTACAGTGATTTTATCAAATCTGAATCTTGCCCTAAGCAGCAGAGGCTGTAACAGCTGGCCAGATGAGCTGTAGATTTTCAATTTTTCTTCTGGCTCTTTATTGTTCTTTATTGTTTAGCATTGATGTGAAGGTCAATGTGAACCTAAAACTTGGGCTCACAGTTTTTGGAGAAATTTACTCCATTTTTAAATAGAAATGTTCTAATGAACTACAGACATGGTTATAAAGGTTGTATTTTTACCTGTCTCCCCAAGGGGCAATGTCTTAGTTACTTTTTACTCGTTGCTGAGACAAAATACCTGAAGACCGAAGTTGGGAAAGGAAAGGTTTATTTCTTACAGTTTTGGGAGGTTTTAGTCTATATTCAGTTGCCTCCCAGACACGGTAGCATGGCTGGGCCACAGTTCATGGCAGCTGCAAACAGCAAGGCAGATACCGGCAAAAGAGCAAGACATGCCTTCTTCCTGCCATTACATCACATCCTGGCTCCACCCTAGGCCCATGTAGCACGCACACCCCCAATCCAAGTGCTAGACAATGAACCAATCACAAATGCACAACGCAAGCGCATGAGGCCTGGGGGCCACCAACATAAACCATGACAGGCAATAAGGGGTTTCAAGAATGAAATATATTTGAGAAACTTTTCATTTTTTTTTTAAAGTCTTTGTTAGGTACCAGAGTACTCTGAGTTCAGAGATAGTTTGTTTTTGTGTGACAGGAAAGCCTTTAGCCAGAATACAAATTTTCCTCAAAATTAGAGAAATCAAGGTGGAAAAAGCCATCCTAGACATGTGACAAAAAGTCTATGCAGGAGCGAAGGAACTTTTTCTTTTTCTTTAATGAATGAATGAATTTATTTAGAGACTGAGTCTGCTAGCAGTTCCGGCTGGCCCTGAACTCACTGAGAAGCCCAGGCTGGAGCCTCCAGGTCCTGGGGTGGTGGGTGTGCCCACCACGCCCAGCAGGAGACTTTCCCTTTAAAGGCCGAGCATAGGCTGAGTATGGCCCACTGCTGTTCAAGTCCTCACTCCAGAACTTGTGACACCACGGTGTACGGCAAAGGGGCCTCTGGAGATGTGATCAGATCAAGGCTATTTGTTTGTTTTTTGTTTTGGGGTATTTTTTGGCACAGGGATCAAACTCACAACCTCACGCTTGCCAGGCAGATGCTTATGCCGCTGGGCTAAATCCCCAGCTTTACTCTCTAATTTCCAGAAACATAAAGGGTTATAAGGCAACACTGAACAGTTAGGTAATGAGAACAGTTAGCACATGCTGACAAGCCAGATAACCTGGATGAAATGAACAAGTTTCTAGGAA